ATATTCTAGAAAATTTTCAATAACAAGTTTGATAGGAATGTGCCTTCACTTTCTTACAGTAGCGTTAAATTTCTACAATAATATGATTGCAGGGCCCTCAGGGAGAACAGTATTAATACTGATGAGGTTACCTTATGCTACGGTCACAAAGGTTCGTACGAACGATAATTTTGTACGAATCTCCGTTTTTCCACTGTCTTCACAAATTTCCATTGTCTGAAAATCGTTCATACAGCGTTCGTAGCAGTTCGTGATGGCATTTGTGACCAAGGCTTAAGGTAAACAAGATTATATTTTGATCAACAAAAGGTTTGACTTTCAGAGGTACGTGTAGCTGCAGAGTGATTCCTAAAGAGAGCTGCTGTTTGTACGTGTATTAACATTTAACATTTTATTAATGTCTATTGTGTGTGTAATGAAATAAATAATATACAAGCTTAAATTCCTAGTGTATATTGTTGTTTAGTGAAAGTGATACCCTCTTCATGTGTGTCAGCGGATGAGAGGAAGAAAAAATAGAAGTCGAGAGTTTAGTGACGCAACTGCACACATCATCATCATCATGCATTCACGAGGGTTTATAGCCTTGTGGTCTACAACTAGTTTGTCTACTACCCAATTGGTCTATACCCAGTCTCCTATTCACATGGTCTAATAATCATTTTGTCTACCCATCATTGGATCTAATGACCATTTAGGCTAACAGTCATTTGGTCTAATAATCATTTCATTATTTATGATTATTAGAAGAAGAAAAAAACGGCATTAGACAAACTGGAATTGGGCTGACTGGTAATTAGACCAAACGGCAATTCACCTTCAAGAGCATGACAAAACAAACGCACAAAATAGGCCATTTTCGTAATGTAAACAAATTCATGCATATGCCTTAGTGAAACACCTTGATACATGTATCTCAATAGTCAGAATTCAAATTGTATTTATTAGTTGGTGCTAGGTAGGACAAACATTGCTTGCCCTGCTGAACAAGACATAATAAATGTCTATTGACTATTGAGATACAATTATTTGTAATGGGTGAATGATATTCGTATCGAGACACTTTAGTATAAATTTGGTTACATTACGAAAATGGCCCATTATGATCGAAAACTATAAAGCTACAACTATCATTAATCCAGAACACAGATGTAGCCGGTCATATTAATCAAGATTGTCTATTTAATAGGGTGCAAGCATGATATCATTGAATCTCTATATTCAGTGATCATCTAGCACACCTAAAACATACAAAAACAAATCAGTTTCCAGGAAATTTTCTGGATATATTCAACAGTGCATTATTCAATATCATGGAAACCAAAATAAACTGTCACCATTCTTCATACTTAGTTGCATACAATACTTTTCTTCAAAATACTTATGATGGAATATATTAAAATCTTCCTACAGCTTTACTTCATCATTTTGTAGCATTTATGGCTTATTTACATTAGAAATGAAATATTCTGTTCACTATTCCTAATATTTATGCATAACAACAGAAAACAAACATTTCAGATGCTATAGACAAAAAAAAATATATAAATTGAGCATGGTCCATGGTTTAAATTACAAAAATATAACATTACAATATTTGTCAAATGTCAAAAACAAACATTAAAAACAGATGCCCCAAAATATTCAAAACTAGAGATGACAAAATATACACTTTAAAAGAAAAGAAGAAGGCATCTTCATTCTCAATTTACTGTAACATGTCATAATACATGTATATACCGGGTACATTAAAGAGCAATGTAAACCAATTTATATAAGCATTGATATAACAACTTTCAACTCAATTTCTGATAGGTTAAGAATATGAAGCATTGTGATTTGCTGATAATTCTAAGACGATATTCTTACCTATCGAGATCAAGTATTCCTACATGTCGACCAGTGTTTCACATCATACTTCAATTCTATTTAAAGCAATCAAAGTTGAATTCAGTCAGTACCTGTCTCATAGACAGATCTTGCAGGACCGAGGCAATGGCCCAAAATAATCCACACTCCACGCATTTACATTTGTTTTGTCCAGGGGTATAACCACCCAGCACGAGGACCTAGGCCCTGCTTCATAAAACTTGTTAACAATAACAAAAGCTACATTTTTATGACAAATTTGCTCTCAGCCAACCAAATGCCACAATTTTTGTAGCTTACAGTATAACAGTTTATATTGTAACTTGTTATTGATAACAAGTTTTATGAAATAGGGTACAGGATTTGTCTGAAAAATCAGCAATTTTATAATTTTATAATCAACACAAAACAATTATGCATAATATATAGCGGCTCGAGTTCTCACTTGCAGCTTGCTTTTTGTAGCACGACTTCTTTTGGTTGAAACTAATTATTTATTGCGGACCTTGTGGTGCAGCTGCTATTGAGTTTGCAGCTACCATGCTAAAAGACAGTTTAACGCTAGTAATGACTTCAGACCGTTATTGAAGAAAGATACAACCCACACAAGATAACACTTTACACACTACAGAAAATATTATTCAAAGCTATAATATTCCTACTTCATATTTCATTATTTATCCTCAAGAATATATTGCGGTGATATTAATCGATGCAGACATTAATTTGTAATATGATATGGTAGCTTGTTATTTGTTACTTTTCAATCCTGAGCAAAAAATTATACTGTCTCCCATTTTATTAACGCGCATGGAACCCTTATTAATGCACATCTTTGATTGATACATATAGCTTGTTTTTTTTATATCTAACATGAAGATATGTAAGTAATTCAAGAATTTACCTAAAATCAAAAGCATTAAGAGAAACAATAGGGAGGGTTCAATTAGAGGAACCATAGAGCAACAAACAAAAATAACTACCACGCTTAAATGGCGTACATCTTTGTAACAAGAACAAAAATCTAAACTGTACGTTATACACTTAAATAATGTAAGAGTTTCTTGAAGAAGAAAAAAATATTGCACAGAAGTCATATTAATCTAATTGTTTTCCTATTTCTTTTCAAGACAGAGGGAAAAAGAGGGTCTCTACAGTCATGGTAAACATGGGAAAATTGAAGCTTAGGAGTTACATGTATGCAATCTGTATCATGTCCTTGTACATGGAAAACTTTGCTTTAGAAGGAATGTGTAAATACAACTTGATGTAGGTGATAGAGAAATGTATATGAAGAATTCAAAATGGCAGAGACATTGTCAAATTCTCATCTAGGAAACAATTAATTATTTCATTCATTTTGTGTTTATTTCTTTGATTAATCAATTTAAATGAAAAATTCAAAATACTGGTATTTGAAATCTTATGAGGGGGTACCAAAACAAAAACAACAAAATATTTCCAAAAATAAATTCGAAGATTACAAATTCTTTTGCACCATAATAATTGGGTAAACACTTTGAAAACGTAAATGTACTTAATAGCATGCATAGTTTCTTTACCGAACAAATCTCTACTTAAATTCTTTTCATATTGAATTTGCATAATTTGCATGTCATAATACATTAGAATAGTACATAGCATTGTTGTGGATCACACTTTCATGCCACACCTTAGTTTAAACTTTAGTCCCATGTACACATTTCTGTGTACAGTGTTATGTGACTCTTAGCAAGACTGAGCTAATTTCTTATTATTTTAAAGATTCCAAACCCCAACAGTATACACCAATACTTATATGCTACATGGTCAGCCTTTTTCCCCAATCACTACCGCAGTTTCTTTCACAATGCAATCGCAGGATGAGAACTCAACTTTATCTTTAAGTCATTATTCATAAAGTGTTTTAACTTAAGTCCAGGTTTAAATCATAAAGTTAAGTCCAACAACTTTATAGAGCACCAAGTATCGATCACTTTATCCCATAAAATTTTCAATAGTTTTGTAACTAGGTGAATAAATAAAAGTGAACATCACTGTGAAATGAATATCTCATTGTTTTTCATTTTTCATTTCATCACTTAATTCACTTCATTTGTTGGAAGAACAAAGTAAGCCAAATAGGGTTTTCCTTGATATGCTTTGATGAGTATAGGCCATTAAGCCTATGTATAATAGTATATCAGATATGTTTAAGATTTCTTTAAAAATGAAAGCAAGAACCCACAATACCTTTGACTACAACCCCCTTTGCATTGTATTTTCAAACTTGTTATAAAGAGCATTAACTTAATGAGCTACAAAGCTTGTCTCATCCTGTTTCCTGGGTAGCTAATTTCAGACACATAATTAATTGAGTTGTGCTAATTTGTTTAGGAGATAGCTACATAAACTAAAAACTTCATAAACAGCTAGCTACGGTACTTAAACTACTTATAGCTACATAAACACACACACATTTACACTGAGATTATTTCTTTTAAATAGATGCAAGGAAGTCTATATAATTAACAAATTAATTGAAATTTGTTTAAATTAGAATGGAAAATATTCAAAATTTGCATCATATAATAATATCAATTTATATAAAGCACTGTTTTGTAGCTAATTCTGAAGCAAATAGGGGGAAAATAGAATCCTGAACACTTAAAAATGATCACAAGACCAATATCGTTTATCATCATGTCAAATGCGAATATACTTTATCGTGTTTACAAAAGATGTGCTTTATTATGAAAAAATATGTCTCCATATATCCTTGGAAAGTGTCTATTAATCAACAAATATTTACAATTAAGCATGATTTCACATCAAGATTGGGAGAGTATTATCCATTGATATTCACCATTTATTCAGAGAACATTCAATCTATTGATGCTAAAGCTTTATGATATAGATTGATACTGGATCTGGATTATACTGTACAAAGAGTATTTTAGAGAGAACTCTGTGCAATGACAAACTCGCTTTACAACAGTATTAGTCCAAGATCAGTGATGTCACCTAAACTTATGAAAAGTGACATGATTCTGAAGGCGTGATATGACGGTCATATTCATATGGCATCACTCTTCCCCCAGCAAAATAGATGCCTAGACTTGCAAGGATGAATAAAGATCTGTGATTTTTCGAAATGTGCCCAATTTGGCTCTTTCTGCTCAGGCAAGGTTCAAGCACATTGATGAAAAGGTGATATCACATGATGTAATAATGCGACATCTAGTAACTGTAACAACAGAGTCTGCATCCAGAAACTAATACAGAATTAGTCTTTAGTTATGAATTTCCAAATGCCACATGATAATCAACATTAAAATGTAATTTGTGTAACTTCACTCTTCAATACATGTAACCGATCTTCAACTCCATCTTTGAAAATTCTGAATCAATTTCTTTTATTTCAACCAGTTTTGCCTGATTTACAAGTTGACAAATTTCCTAGTCCATTACACAATCTACATTTACATAGTTTGCATTTTAAAAATACTGTAATTATTCTCTTGTCCTAATGGTTTAATTAAATAAATATTTAATCACCATAATCCTGTGATCTATAAGAACACACACATCTTATTAATGGATGTGGCTGGTACATTGTTAGAGCTGTCCACATTTTACTTTTTACATCACAAAGAATCTTTGCATTTCCACTTGCGTCTCAATAAACCTTCAAGGTCAACTTAAAAATTAAATTACATTGATATTAGATAAGGTACTGCATACACATACATGAATAACCAGATCACATGTACCTGCAGAACTCTGTATTATCTATAAGTATATGTATCTAACATAACTATTTAATCTTCAACCTTTGTAGGACCTTAGTTCAGCATTTAACATTTTTTGTGAACACTTTTGTTAACATTTGGTTAACAAAACATTTTTAGTCCTATACATTTCCAGAAATCTAGAAAAAAATTGCTGAAGCATTAGGACATGCTTTAATACACTTAGAATAAATGTGAAAATGTGATATTATTCATGCACCTCAAATACACATCACAGCGAGATCACAAATAATCAAGCATGGCTTTCTCCCAAATGAGAGTCATTAGATTCATTTCATTCTAACCATCGCACCGAGTTGAAGGGTCCCGTACATATAAATGGAAGAGTTTGTTGAAATTCCAACAATTGTGAGCCTAGTCACAGGCTATCGCAACAAATAAATAATAGAAGACATAAAGAGTCCTGTACACATCTGCACCTGACGTTGATCTGCTGTAGTCTATGATGAAGCTGGGGTCCAATCATAATTGTGGTAGTTTACTCTCCAATGACTGGTTTCTCAAGGGGCAGGTTATTTGATGTTGTTGGACTTTGGAACGGGAGGCTGCGCTGGGCGTGCCCTAGGAGGAATTGGTGTTGACTGTGGAGGGAGAGACAAAGAGGGAGGAGAGTGATCATGACAGGAATCGAGAGAAAGAGAGAGAGAGAAGATAAATAGAGGGGACAAGTAGAGGCAATCACACAAGGAGCAGGAAGAGACAGACACAAGGAGACAAGAGTTAGAGAAAAGAGAGAGAAAAGAAGAAAGAAATGAATGGAGATAGAACAAAGTGATTGAAAAAGACAAAGAGAAAAGTTGTATATGATACATGTATCTTTCTATTTTCTCATGAATTCTGCATTACTCCAACTTCTATATAGATTGAATCAAAATTTTAATTAATTTTCATAACACCTTTTTAAAGAAATCCTGAAATACTTTTCCTTCACAGACAGTTCTTCAAATGATAAACAACTAAGAATATTTTAAAACTAGATGGAATTCGACTGCGCGCAGTCGAAAATGATGCCTCCGTCATAGAGCAATTTTACAAACCGAAACGGAAGAAATTTTTCAAATTCAAGTTCAATTGTAATCCATTAACATGTTCTCAGAATATCGTGATTACAAGCAATTTCTCATATACATATATGACCCTTTGATCTTTGACCTCATGACCCTAAAATCTACTCAGTTCATTGGCTCTGCAAGATTTCCTGAGTTAAATAGTAATCCATCTGTCAATTCTAATGAGAATGCGTCCACAAGCTATTTTTGCATACATAATGAGCCCATGACCTTTGATCTTATGAACCATTCATTGGCTCTGCAAGATACATAAATGATCTAAGTTTGGCAGGAATCCATCAATCTGTTCTAATGATAATACGATCACAAGCTATTTTTGCATACATAATGAGCCGCATGACCTTGACCTTTACCTCATGACCCCAAAATCTAATCAGTTCATCAGCTCTGCAAGTAACATACATGACCTAAGTTTGGCAGGAATCCATCAATCGGTTCTTGAGATAAGGCGATCACGAGCTGTTTTTGCATACACAATGTGCGCTGTGACCTTTGACCTCGTGACCCCAAAATCTAATCAGTTCATTGGCTTTGCAAGATACATACATGACCAAAGTTTGGCAGGAATCCATCAATCGGTTCTTCAGATAACGCGATCACAAGCTGTTTTTGCATACATAATGAGCCCTGTGACCTTTGACCTCGTGACCCCAAAATCTAATGTTCATCAGCTCTGCAAGATACATACATGACCAAAGTTTGGCAGGAATCCATCAATCGGTTGTTCAGATAACGCGATCACAAGCTGTTTTTGCATACATAATGAGCCCTGTGACCTTTGACCTTTGACCTCGTGACCCAAAATGTAATCAGATTGTTTTCCTATAGTGATACACACTATCACTAAGTTTGAAGTTTAAATCTCCAGTGGTTCTTGAGATATCATGATAACAATCTCAATGTATGGAATTTCATAAGTTGACCTCTGTGACCCTTGACCTTTGACATACGTGCTCCAAAATCTAATCAGATCGTCTTCCTATGGTGATACATACTATCCTTAAGTTTGAAGTTTAAATCTCAAATGGTTCTTGAGATATCGCGCTAACAAACTCAATACAAGGAATTTCATAAGTTGACCTCTGTGACCTGTGACCTTTGACCTACGTACTCCAAAATCTAATCAGATCGTCTTCCTATGGTGATAAATACTATTCCCGAGTCTTAAGTTTAAATCTTAAATGGTTCTTGAGATATTGTGATAACGGTCAAACGGGACGGACGGACGGACGTACGGACGGACGTACGGACGGACAACCCGAAAACATGATGCCTCCGGCACCACCTTCGGTGGCGGAGGCATAAAAAAATCAAAACCCAAAACCCTATGCTACCCTTAACCAATAATATTATATACATGTAGCAATAGATGAAACTGGCTATGGAGTCATTTAAAAACATTTGCCCCTTATCTTACTTTACTGAAGCAGATGAGCATTTATACAGAGCTCGACACTAACGGGATACATGGGTGTCCCAAATTTAGTCTGCCACCCCCCCCACCCCCCACTCTAAAAAAAATATTTTGACATAAGAAGTACTTTGCTGATCTCTGAGAAGTGTCTAACTTTTGTTTTTAAGTGGCCCAAACATTGTGGAGCATGTGTGCAGCGCTTTGTAACTGCAAGGAAAAGGCGCTATATCAAATATCTTTTTTGGATTGGATTGGAAGTTGAATCCGTTAGAGCTCTGCTATTTTACCATGTTGTTGATAGGTCCAACATTCTGGTAGACATTCTTATCTTCATTCAAGATAGCTGGTGACAGGATGGGAGTAGAACCAGGAGTGTGATGCTGCTGAACCTCATAGTGTGCTCGCTTCGTATTGATGTACTCACGTCCAGTCTTCAATGTGTTCTGATGGAGACAGAGGCGCAAAAGCAAAATTTATACTAAAACATTTGGAGATAGTTTGATGATGATCAATGATTGCTTTACGTGACTTTACGTGACTGGTTAACAACCAGGGGACTGACGACGTTAAGTCCTCCCCGAGGGATCAATGCCTTACCAACGGGAACGAGCGCATTGACTTGGTTATGACACCACTTGATTGGTCCAATATCCTAGACTGGTTACAACTTGCTGGGACTAAATTCCATGGGATTTAAATTCTATAACAAGAAGGGAATATCAGTGAGGGAGACATTAAAGAGAGATGAAATACCTGTTCTGCAGCTACTCTTTGTGACAGAGTCTCGATATAGTGCTGAACAGCCCTGTAGACAAACTTATACTGTGCCTCCGTTTGTACCAGACCTGAGCGTTGCTGTCTTACAAGCCTGATGGTGTTATAGATATCAATCTCACAGTCCAGTCCTGTATATAGGAAAGAATACATAGAGTGGGATGACAGAACATTGCTTCCAGGGTATAATGGACCGGTTTGTAATAAAAACGATAATAAAAATATCTGTTTCTTATAAATGTAGAAGTGTCTTGGTCAAGTGGATATGTCACCAGACTGTGGATCACATGGTTAACGGTTCAAGTTCCGCCGCGCTACTAGCCTATACAGTTTTTCTTCATGATTGATAAATGAAAGAAAAGGTAACTTTATCATTTCTTTGCAATACCAATTTCCTGATCAGCTATATGCACAACTCTGTAGACATCTAAAGATTTTTTTTCCTTCTCCTTCTCATGCTCAAACCATTGCTACAAACTGACTTGGTCTATTGTATCAATGAATATGTGCGTGTCTGTACTTAAATAACAAATAATTTGTAAAAATGTTTCTGGAAATATACTCCATCCGTACCAGGGGTGATAGTGAGCACTAAAAAAAAAAAGGAAAGTTTTTGTTTTCTTCCTCACCCCCTACCCTCCCGTCCCCCTTGAGTAATAAATTTAAAAAAGGATCCGGGGAAGAAAACAAAAATGGTATTTAACAACATCCCTCCCCCCCCCCTCCTCCCCCTTTGAGTAAGAAAATCTGGAAAATAAGGGAAAAAATTGGGAAAAACAGGTGTAAAATCAGGGAAAAAAGAAGAAGAAAAAAAAAATCAGGAAACCGATTTAAATCGGGTAATTATCAGGCATGATCCATACCAACTATTATAGCACCTTGTACTCATTTCATCAAAAATCATTTATCAGATTGAAGATAGCTCTACTATACTAACCATGTTGTTTGATGAGGTTGAGAATGATGTCAATGACAATGAACGTGCCTGTCCTTCCAATGCCAGCACTGTCAAGATATAAAGAGAGAAAAAACAGATGGATACATGTAGGTCTACAGTTATCTCACATTACAGTCAAACCTGCTTTAGCCGACACCTGAACAGAAAGACCACCCGTCTATAAAACCACATTTTTGTTTCCCTTGAATATAGTTTCTCATTAAAACCTGTACTAAAGGAGCCTGTACATAAAGACCACCTGCCTATAAAGATCACTTTTCATGTTTCCCTTAATCAGTATTTATATACAGGTTTCACTGTATATTTAAAAATTACTAATAACAGCCAGGAGCCAGAAAGATATAACTCTGTGTAAAGTGACATGCGTTAACGTCCTTCTAGCTCTTTGCAGATGAGTACCAGCTGAATGCACTCTGTGTTTATCACTCTTCTCCTCCTTCTGTTAACCTTCAAAGGGCTATGCAGCCTTTATTTGTAGATAGATTACCAGTTTTGTATACAGGTACACTTAACACCCGGTATACACTCTACTCTTTGCAAGAAGTATAGCGCATTAACATGCATAGGGTGCGACTCTCCTCCACGCAGGGCCTCCAGTTAACTTTCTAGTAAAAAGAGTGTTTTCCCCTCCGCCTTCTCACTCTATATTCTAATGTGAACTAAACTTCCAAAAATAAAAGTTTAGATTTCAAAATCCCATTACATAAATCATCCCAATATCCATCTACAACTGAAATATCTATGATCTATGATCAAAGCTACGGTAGAGCTATCAACTCAACAGAATCATCGGGTATAATAAAATCCTTGATAATGTCTGTATTAAACATTTAGAACAATATACACTAAGCAGAAAGAAGAAATAAAGAGTGGACACTTTTTACTGTTCAAAATGTTCATAAAAACTGTCAATAAATATAATAAATTATATATCAAATTAACAAAAAAATCACTACTCTACCAAAATCAATTAAGACCAAGTTTTGAACTTTTATTAATTAACTGTTATAAGGTATGATTAAGAAGATTGCAAAAACAGAGCAAGCAGCAATTTAAATGTTAATAAACATGTGCATCTGTCAGGTAGACTTATTTAACTATAGAAACAAAGAATGAGAAACAATGGTTTTGACAAGCACGATAAAAAGTCAGGATACCTACAATGTCCATCAACATTTGAATAGCCAGATGCCCATTTTTGAAATTTTCTTTCAGAGACTTATTTATTGTAAGATGGCTATGCCCCCACTCATGCATGAGCAGTATGATTTCAATTGCATATCATCTTAAAGAGAGTTTATTGTTTCTTGAGGTATATGAAAGATCAATTTTTAACAAATATGTTACGAGGCGCGATAGCTCAGTCGGTAGAGCAATGGTCTCGTAATCTGGTGACCCGGGTTTGAAACCAAGGCGATTCGCTAGTGCCCTTTGGTAAGGATTTAATCCTCATTACCAGGTCCCTCAGAGAGGACCTTCAGCCGTCGGCCATCTGGTTGCTTACTAACAAGCATTTATGCTTGCTTAGCAGTCAGGTAAAATAACCACAAGCACCACCAAATGGCCCAAATATCTAATTGAGTTTGAGTTTGAGTTTGAGTTTGAGTTTGAGTTTGAAGTTTATTATCCAAAACAAAAAGTACATCAATATAACAATCAAATGTGAATGATTAATTAACATTGAAAGGATAAATGGGACCAGAAAATAGCATTTAATGCTAATCGTGTCTAGTACCACTAACACACAAAAAGTATCACAGCAATAAATGAGAATGTAACGAATAAATATGAATAACTATTGAATTCATACCTAAGCTACAAACTATTCTACATCTAGGGTAAATGTGTTCTGTGCTTATATACAAAGCTTTGGTATTTTACACTAAATAAAAGATGAAGAATTATATAAAAAAATATTTACAAAAAGGCAAGAGCCTTGGTTCTAAGTTATAAACAACTATTCTATTAACATTTGTGATATAAGAGTTCTACAAAAGCAAGACACTGATGCTTTCTCCCTTACAGAAAGGGGTAGATCATATCTTAACTATGAATAGTATCCACTTTCTTTCTTTTTTGCCGAATGTACATTAGACTTGCTCTTCCTACCTGCAATGAACAATGATAGAGCCAGCATCTGGGAATGTTTCTTGTTTCTTGTTGACGTCTTGGAGGAAGTTGAGGACCCTGCTAGGGTCAGAGGGTACACCATGGTCAGGCCAACTCTTGAAGTGGAAGTGAAACATTGGTCTCGATTCTTCAGGCTAAACACAGATAGGTGGACAAGAAAAGGTTAACATACAATAAAACTACAGTATGACCTCTGTTATGGGTTCCATGTCGGCATACTAATTAATACAAGTTTTGTATGTCACATCTGTAAAAATAAACTGCAAGTGAAATAAGCAGCTCTTCAATCCTTAAAGGTTTGAATGTCTTACAATTTGGGGTGATTAATAAATTCTTTGCATTAAGGTTAGTGGTCCCCTTTTATAGTAAAATTGTCATCATGTCACATTCTGTTACATTTCAATACATGGTAAAACCCAAGTTGTAATTAATAATAATAATAATAATCTGGTTTTTTATATAGCGCTCAATACACCGATCCAACGATGTGCCTACCGTATTTTCCGGCGTAAAGGCCGCAGTATTTTCGGGTGAGAAAAAATCAAAAAGTCGGGGTGCGGCGTATACGCAACAACAACAAAATTCAGCGGTCAAAACATCACGTCCATTTGCACGTATGGGACTATAGGAACGGTAGCATGACTAGACAACGGTACAGGACAATTCTAGAATAACTCCACACAACTTACCGACAAGTTTATGTTGCATAGTTGACATGAAGACGAAAAAACTTATTTTTCTAATAAAATCTGCCGATAGATCTAGATCTAAGTCCATACCATTGCATCGGCAAAAAGTAAACAAAGGGACAGGCCGTTACTTACGGAGCTAGCTGCCGCGCAACGCAACTGCGCAGGTCGAAAAATGCTATTTCGGATTACACCGCACATCGAGGAAGGGGTATTGTAGGATGCCAAATCTGCGTACGATACAGTACTAGCTTAAAAGTCGATGAAGATCTGCTAAATTATGATCATTTTTGAGGTTAACTTCTTGTTGATTTATAAGAATATTGATGAATTTGGTATAGTTTGTAAAAAAAAAGAGTGTTCTACAAGAAAATTACGATCATTTTGTTTGGTCCGTTTTTTTTTTCTCTTTTTTTTTTTTTTTGTTTGTTTTTGTTGTAGTTTTTTTTTTTCCTCTACAAAATGTCAAAGTTGGGGGTGCGGCCTATACGGCGGTGCGGCCTTTACGCCGGCAAATACGGTAAGCGCTTTACAGATATATTATTACCCCGGTCATCGGATTCAGGCTTACTCGCACACAATGTGTGCACATTTTCCACTCCCTGGGGAGCATTCCAGCCAGTCGCCATTTTACAGGCGCACACTTGCTCGTTCAACCACATGAACGTTCGCATCCTACCGGGTACCCATTTAACACCTGGGTGGAGAGTAGCAAGTGCAGGTAAATATCTTGCCAAAGGATATTAGTGCCGTGTCGGGATTCGAACCCTCGACCTTCGTATCTACAGTCAAGCGCCTTAAACCACTCGACCACGACACTCCCACGTGTAATTGGTAAACGTAGCTTGGAATGTTCTTGGTACCCTGGGGATACATGATATAAGTAGGGCAATTCTGTGTCATGTATGATAAATGACTATCATCTTTTATTTTGTACGGTACTTATTTCATGGAATCGCCAAACTGCTGATACTTACAAAGTCTTTATGAGACATAGAGAACTCTCTGAGATCATAGTCTGCCATGCTCTGTTCTGAGATGTGCGTTACAGTGATTACTCCGGTATCCTTCTTAGTATTAGCATCAGGCCAGTAACGACAACATTTATTCTAAAAAAAAAAGACAATCAAACATTAAATTACAGTTCACATCCTTAATCTACACATGGCAATTTCTTACACAGTGTATAGCGCAATTTACAAACGCATACATATACCTGTACATCCGTATTACACAAATTCAGTTAAACCACACCCTGGTTCTAAGATCACATTTAACAAGGCAACTTAGACCTTAGCCTATAATCTAGGCGGAGTGCCGAGCTTTTTTCTTTGCTGCTAGACTAACCCTAAGCAGAACGTCTGATACGGCGAGACTACGAACCGTGAGTCGCGAAGCGGCTCACCGCCTATAATCACTGGTCTAGCTTTAGTCGTTGTTTTTTTATTATCGACAATGAATCCGTGGCAGTTTTCGTACGAAAAACTGCCACGGATTCATGGTCGATAATAAAAAAAACAACGACTAAAGCTAGACCAGTGATTATAGGCGGTGCGCGGCTCACAGTTCGTAGTCTCGCCGTATCAGACGTTCTGCTTAAGGTTAGTCTAGCAGCAAAGAAACAATCTCGGCACTCCGCCTAGATTATAGGCTACTTAGACCTCAGACTAGCTTTGTTCGCATTGTGAAACCCAACTTTGAACAAAAGCATTTGGTTTTAGTAGAATTTTAAGGAAATATGGGCCAATGTGTTTTGCTTCCCTTCAACAGTGAACATTTCCCATGCAATATATACATGTAGTATCATAATCATAATTATAGTTATGCCAAGAATGGTATCTCAAAAACCTGTTAAATCCCTTAAGTTTATAACTGGTTGAAAATATCCCTCAAATACCCAAAATAAAACCCCTCTTTACAATACTATAATCAAACTGACCACTGAGTGGTTTCCAGGGGGCTGTTCTCAAAAGACTACAATTGGGTTTTAGGTTAGGTTTGATTTAGTGTTTGATCAAGGGTTGAAGATTGGAAGTCTTCTTAATGTATGAAATTGATCACAGAGCAATGGTTGCATGACTGTTTGATGTACAACTGGTGATTCCTACCTTCCCCCTTTCCACTTCTTTAGTTGTCATGACGATGACTCTAGAGTTCTCCTGCCAGGCCACTCGCCAGAACTCTGGTACCGTGTCCTTCAGACAACCTTGTGTAGCAATGTACCGTTTCTGATGCTCCCAACTCATGTCAATCTTCTCCACATTTTCACCTTGCTGCTGAAGCTCAATACTGTTCTTCCATGCCTTTGGTAACTGATTCAATCAAAATAATAAAAAAATTACTTAATGATTCATATTAAAAATTAGAAGAGAAAGAATTATTATTAATAATATCAATACCAACAACACAAACAATAATAACAATGACAACAACAACAATAGTAACATTAATATAGCACTTAATTTTAATGTTTTTAAGTGCTGTACTTTTCATTCCCCTGGCTTTAGCCAAGCTACACTGATAGAGCACACCTACCAGGAGCACATTAACCTCACCTGGGTGGAGAGAGGCAAATGTAGATTAATGTCTTTCCAAAGGACGGAGATGTTTTGGTGTAGTGGTTCATTTGTTTGACTCTCAATCCAAGGGTTGAGGGTTTGAATCCCAGCCAGGCACTAATGTCTTTTGGTTCATTTGTTTGACTCTCAATCCAAGGGTTGAGGGTTTGAATTCCAGCCAGGCATTAATGTCTTTTGGTTCATTTGTTTGACTCTCAATCCAAGGGTTGAGGGTTTGAATTCCAGCCAGGCATTAATGTCTTTTGGTTCATTTGTTTGACTCTCAATCCAAGGGTTGAGGGTTTGAATCCCAGCCAGGCACTAATGTCTTTTGGTTCATTTGTTTGACTCTCAATCCAAGGGTTGAGGGTTTGAATTCCAGCCCGGCACTAATGTCTCTTGGCAAGACATGAATCCACATTTGCCACTCTCCACCCAGGGTACCCGGTAGGATGGAAAAGTCATTGTGGTTTGCTCAGCATTGTGAGCGTCTTTGGAATTCTCCATGGGGGTGAAGAATGTACATTTATGGACAAGCCTAAATTTGATGACCAGGGTGATTACATCTGTAAATCACTTAGGGACATTGTTGATGTATTAAACTCTTTATAAACCAAGAATATATTCATATGTTAGTGCCTTGGCAGGGAATCTAAAGTTATACCATGTGATACAAAGCATTATAGAAGACACTGTAAAGCTTCCTCTCTTTCATCTCTCAGGATCTAAAAGTAAAATTGCTCAGCCAGTTGCAATAAGTCAAGATAATAAATGGCACATAGGATCACATTGTCAAGTTCAATGTGTAGCTTTCAATAGACTTTAAAGCCCCACTGTACTACTTGTAGCTACTTGCTCCCTCTATATAGCAAGCAAAGCCTAATCGGTGACCACTGGTCCCCCATGATCCTCTTTTTCTAATGTTAATTGAGAGCTGAGTTGATGAGATAGCCACCTGTCAGTGACTGCCCTGGGTGGTCTAATCCCTCCTAGCCAAACTAGTACAGACGGCCTTTAAAACTTTACAAGAATCACTCTCACATTATCATAAACACATGAATATTGTGAATAAAGATACTTACATCGATGTAGTTGCCATTGATATAGTCACCAGGGAGACCATCATTGATAATAACTCTTGAATGGTCAACTGAAACAAAAAGGGAAAAGGAAAATTATCAACTTAATTAAAGGGAAATCTGATTCCAGATTGCAAACTGCTTGTAATGAAAGCAGAAAATTGCGAAAATAATACACCCTTTCACAGTTACAAGATTGTGCATGCGCCGACATGGGCGCCATTTTACTCATGTTTAGTCATAATTTAAAATGACGCCCATGTTAATAACTCATTGAGAAAGTAGCTTGCTCAAGACTAATGGAGCATGTTGAAGCTAACAATCTTGCTGACCCATTTCAGTCTGCATATAGACCCCGACATAGCACAGAAACTGCTTTGATCAAGGTGAAGAATGATATTATGTTTTCACTTAACTCAAACAAAGTAATTCTTGTGGTATTATTAGACTTGTCAGCAGCCTTTGATACCATCGACCATCATATCTTAGTCTCTCGTTTATCAACGAGGATTGGTATCAAAGGCACTGCCCTAAAATGGTTCCAGTCTTATCTCGATGGCTGGTCAACACAAGTAGACATTGCAGGGGAATTGTCTGCGCCTATCATTTCCAAGTTTGGTCTGCCACAAGGTTCTGTAGTAGGTCCTGTTGGTTTTACAATTTACACCCTCCCGGTTAGTGATATTACTCAGCATCATAATGTGTCATACCATGTATATGCGGATGATATACAGTTATATGTTTCATTTGATCCCAAAATACGTGGTGAATTATATTGTGCATTGTTGTCACTGCAAAACTGTATCTGTGATATAAAGAATTGGATGTCCATCAACAAGTTGAAATTGAACGACAGTAAGACAGAGTTTTTTATTGCTGCTTCACCACACAATTTCAGAAAATTGCCAGACATAACTCTCACCATAGGAAATATTTCCGTAAAACCTACAGACACAATTAAAAACTTGGGCGCATTCTTTGATGTTCATATGAGTATGAATTCACATATTAACAATGTTAGTAGAATGGTCACTTTTCACTTAAGGAACATATCACAAATTCGTAGATATATTGATCAATCAACTTGTCATCATGCTGTAAGGTCTTTAATTCTCTCTAGACTTGATTATTGTAATGGACTTCTTTCCTCTCTTCCAAAGTTACATGTAAACCGTCTCCAGCGCCTACAAAACTGGGCAGCACGTCTTGTGTTTGAGGTCGGTAGAAGTCATTCAGCTCAACCATTAATTAATTCCCTTCACTGGCTTCCAATTCAACAGCGAATCATTTTTAAGTTACTCTTATATGTCTATAAATCATTGCACCACCTAGCTCCTAATTACCTGTCTAATTGTTTAACTTTATATACACCAAGCAGAAATCTCAGATCTTTAAATGATAACCTCCGTCTAAATTATCCAATTACACGTGTCCAAGCCGGGGATAGGACTTTCACGGTAGCAGCATCCAAAGGGTGGAATAATCTCCCCATGTCCATCAGACAATCTGCCTCTATCGATATTTTTAAGAAGGCTCTGAAAACTCATCTCTTTACATGAATTCTCCTCTATGTTTAATTATTTAATTCAATCAATTGAATTTAATATTTTATATGGAATATCTAATTGTAGCCTTTAATTACTACATGTAGTAATTAAAGACCAATAATATTATTTGATGTTAGCGCTCTGAGCCTTATGGGAATGGCGCCCTAAATGTTCATTGTATTGTATTGTATTGTATTGTAATATGATGTGAGCTCGCAGCGCAGGCAGTGACGCAACAATACATATGCGCACCATCAATGTTTACTTTCAAATTAGAATGCTGGCCTTAACAGTGAAGGGGTATATTATAGACATCAGTATATGGGTGTTTGTAAGGTAAACATATCATCTGATATCGGTCAAGTGACTACATGTATGTCAACAGGGCCTATGGTACTCTCCATTCCATAACATATACCAAGGGATAGCAGTTGGTTTTACTCAATCAGCTTCAAAAGAGAGACTCACATGCTCAAACAAGATCTGAATTTTATGTTACATATGGGGCATGAAAAAAAAAAAACCTGAAAGAGGAAGTTCTGAATTATGCAAAAGCCTGAATACCAGCATTCCTTTTATACAGGTGTAGATATATTATATATTCCTGATTTTTAAAAAAATCACTTCCCTAACCACCATGTTCATCAATATAAAGTATCATTAGTTATGCATGGTTTTCTTTGAAGAAAGAAATCTGTTCTGTAAAAATAAAGGATAACAATAAAACTGTTTAACCATAGAAATTCCCAATCTTACAGGTAATACAAAGTTCAATTTATTTATTCATCATCCATAAAAATTATAACAAATATTGACAATATTTGACGATGCATAACAATAATAACAATAGATGAAAGGATACCTTCAAAAAAAGCACGGGGCTTGTACAATAGAAGGCACCTGAACAAAGTTAAATAATACATTTATAATTGCAAAATAATTCACCCAGCCACAAAACACAATAGTCACACACAAAAATGCGCCTACACACAAACACACACACACACACACACACACAGAGACACACCCTCACTCACAAACTAACTAACTACTAACCGAAATGTAACGCAAACAATCTTTTGAAAATCATTGTTGGAGTACATCAAGTATTGTAACTGTTAACGAAATGCTGGTTAAGTTTACGTTTGAATACATTGAGTGTGGTTGCATCGGAAGTACAATTTTCAATTTCGTTTAAAATTTTGGGACCAGTATACCGAATGGATCTTATATCTAACGAATTTTGAGGTTTTGGCAGTCGAAATTTCATTGAATTGCGGGTAAAATGTGAATGAATATCTGAATTTAGCTGAAACATATCATGAAACGAAAGTGGAAGAGTATTGTTTATATATCGATACATGAAAATACCAACAAGATATTTATATATGTCAAAAATGTTTAAAAGATTTAACGAATGAAAAATAGGACTAGAATGGGCAAGATAATGCGAAAGAGTACAAATTCGAATAGCTTGTTTCTGTTTCTTAAAAATACTTACTAATCTGGTTTTACACGCTGAACCCCATACAATATTACCATACATGAGATACGGCAAGATAAGAGTATTGTATAATAGAATTAATATATGTGGGGGTACTGTATATTTCAATTTATATAAAATTCCAATGGTTTTACTTATTTTATTACAGACATGTCTGACATGAAAATCCCATTTTAGATAACAATCAACATGTATACCAAGGAAATTATGACAGTCGACGAAATCAATCAACTCTCCGTCCAATTGTACTTTGGGTAAAGCGATACTCCGTGAATTGTTCAAACAAAAATATATACATTTAGTTTTTTTAACATTGAGACATAGCTTGTTTGTTCTTAACCATTCAACAACCTTGATAAGTTCTGTATTTGTTTGACATATTAAGTCATTCTGATTATAATTTGAGGCAATCAAACAAGTATCATCTGCGTATTGAATAAAGTGAAACAATTTTGAAACACAATATAAATCATTAACATATAATAGGAACAATAGAGGACCTAGAATTGATCCTTGAGGAATACCTGTTTTGATCAAAAGTTTTTTAGAAATATGAGTTTTATACATTGTACATTGATTTCTGTTTGTTAAATAATCTTTAAACCATAAATAGGGTATACCACGAATACCATATCTAGATAACTTAGAAAGTAATATGTCGTGATCCATTACATCGAAAGCTTTCGACAGGTCTAGAAATATACCGATAACAAACTTATTTGAGTGCAATGCGTTACATACTGTATCATTAAAATCAATAAGAGCATGATCAGTTGAATGGTTTGGCCGAAAGCCATATTGATGCATGTATAAAATATTGTTATGTTCAAGAAATTTATATAGACGAACGTAAACTAATTTTTCTAGTAACTTTGAAAAACAAGGAAGTAAAGAAATTGGACGATGGTTGCATATATCATAAGGATCCCCTGTTTTTGGTACAGGAACAATTTTTGCAGTTTTAAGCCGGTTTGGAAATTTTCCAGTCGAAATTGATAAATTCATAATGTGCATCAACGGACGGGCTATAGCGTGAATAGATTTCTTTGCTATATTTTGACTAACATCATCAACTCCAGTGCTATTTGTATTCTTTAAATTCCTAAAAATATTTATAATTTCGTTTTCAGATGTAGGGCACAAAAATAACGAATTTGGATTTGATGCGTTCATGTAATCCAAATGGTGTTTATAAGAGCGAGGAATCTGGGCAGCTGTTTTGGTTCCAACGTCATTAAACATTCTATTGAACAGTTCGGATATTTCGCACTCATTGTCTACTATCACACCGTTGACTTTGAAATGATTCGGCAGGACTTTAGCTTTTCTATTTAAAATACCATTGATAATGCCCCAGGTTTTCTTCAGGTTATTAGAGTTGTATTTAAGCATATCACCATAGTATTTTGTTCGTGCTTGTCTTAGAAGAAAAGTAACTTTATTTCGATAAGATTTATACTTCCTACTCAAATCTGAAGAAAATTTCAACTTCAATTGCTTATATAACTTATTTCTCCGATTGATACAAGAGAAAAGAAAATTATTTATCCACGGTTTTCGAATTGATTTTTTCTTCCTACTTTTCTCCTTGAGGGTAAAGTGTTTATCATACAATTCAGAATAGATATCTATAAATATATTATATGCCTGTTCGACATTTGTGGATCTATAAACACACGTCCAATCATATAAATGTAGACCAATGCAAAATTGTGCAATGTTTGCCTCCGTAAAATGCCGTGTACGAACATTTAAGATAGGAATAGAAACCTTTAATTTGTAGTTAATTTGAAAAATTGGAAAATGGTCTGTAATATCACAATATAGAACTCCAGAATGAATATCATCGATAACGTTTGTGAATATGTTGTCGATCAATGACATTGATTTCGATGTTATTCTGGTGGGTTTGTCTATCAAAGGATATAAACTATTAGAGTGGAGAATACTCAAGAAGTCAGAAACATGAATATTTTGTGAATTATGTAAGTTTATATTAAAATCACCCATTAAATATATGCTTTTATTTTCTTTACTAATCTTAATGAGAAGTGCCTCGATTTCTTCAAGGAAGCAGGGAATATTGGAAGCAGGTGGACGATATATGGTTCCAACTATAATATTTTTTCTTTCAGATATATTTATCTCAATAAAAATGGATTCGATGTTATCATTGCACATTTTTAAGTCATCTCTGGTCTTGAACTCGAAGCAATCTCTTACTAACATAGCAACACCCCCACCCTTCTTTTGTATTCTGTTGGAGTAAACAAAATTATATCCAGAGAAATCGAAACAATGTGGTGTATGTTCTTGAAGCCATGTTTCCGTGAAAGCAATAATGGAAAAAGGATAGTTAATTGCTGATAAAAAATCTGAAATATCATTGAAATTTTTGGACAAACTTCTTGCGTTAAAATGTATAGTACTAAAGAAATATTCTTCTCTTGTGACATATTTAGAAACAAATTCCTGAGGTATGTAATAATTGCATTCACTGTTCTTAAAAATATCGCAATGTAAATCAGGGTCAATGTCATCAAGTGCATTCAAATTATCTTTTAACAACTCAAGTCTGATGGTATTGAAATTTTGTAACGAAATTGTAGAATCGGCAGTAAACATATTAGATTTGAAATCTTCGTCGCTAATCAGACTAAAAGGAAATATGCATATTATACAATCTTTGCACATCCAATCAGAAACATTTTGAATAACATGACATGATTCATCGTGAAAACAGTCACAGTTTATACAGCAAACGGAAGAGTTTGTTTTGACGGTGCACCCACAACAATTAGTATTTGCTCTGTATCCAATCATACAATAACGAATCAAACACTCATACAGACACACATACACTCACTCCAAGATAGCAAGTTCAGTACTTTGTATTCTCTATACAGATAGGTTTCACAGTCCAAAAATGAAGGAAAACCCCCCACCCCCAATCCGCCAAGTTGTTGACATGCTTGACGATTGCATAATAGAACATGTTACATAATCAACTAAACTGTTTACATTCTTGGATTACTGAGTGCCGAAGTATTAATTCAAAGAATTTGGAATCGCATTCTATGAATAAATGAATTAAATCATTTTGTTAAATGGTTGACATGGGAACGGGCTATGCACATGTAGATGGTACTGTAATAAGGCGTGCTTCAAATCAAGATATTTCGATTGAAAGAGTGTAAAATAAAGAATATAAATGGCATATAGTTACATAAAATAGTATTTTTAAAAAAAATTACAAAAAGAAAAACGGTGACGTGTCGTAAAACGAAATTCCATGTATAGACGCATTATTTTGAAACAATCGTTCTACTCACGAAATGAAGTCCAAGTTGCTAGTGTCTGTGATTTTGGCCTGTGCTCCAGTACTAGTTTTACACCAACCAGTCGAATTCTAGTTGACATATTTTGTGTTTTTCGTAGATTATAGGCTTCTCTTTCCAGCTGATATCGAGCTTTCTTTAGTTCGGCTGGCAAGTCGGTACGTATCGTTATTCTAGGCGTATCGTCTGGAGTCTTGGCCGGCTTTGGACGTCGCTGTATTCGTTCGAAGGCGGCGAGGACTTCATTGCGGTCGGACATGCAGACAAATCGCACGATGATCGGGTCGGGAGTTTTGATGTTCTCGTTTGGCTTACGTGGCAATCGGTGAACATTGTTGAATATCATATTTTGTGCCGTACTTTCTGAGACATCGAGAGATGTAATTGCTTTTCGAATAACTTCTTGTATATTTTGGTTCAAATGAACATATTGGAAACATATGCGATCCTACAATATTCAGTGATTGTTGTCGCGGTTGAAATCGAGTCTAAAGTGATGAAATTGTAAATAATAAACTCTTTTTGTTGCATAGCTCCCTCTCAAGGTCAAGATATTAATTTTAGCTATAATACAATGTTTCTTGACTAAAATCGACCGATTGGCTATTCCCATTTGGCAATTACTTACCACAACTACTTATTCTGAGATTTTCATGGTCGTAGCTACCATTGTGTGGCCGTAGGCGCTATTTGAAAATGATTGAAATTTACTGGGAGCTACGATAAATTATGATATTCAATTTATCTCAAAAGCAGAAGTGTTTTAGGGGCTAAATTTTTTAGTGCTTATAATAGATCCCCAGGGGCATCCAAATATTCAAAAATTGTAAAGAATCTTTATCCAGCCAATTTCCAAAATTCCCCCCAATTTTGTATTACCTTTAACAACTTCCTACAGCCTACATGTCAAAACGAATCTATTACCATGGCTAATATGGAGGTAATGATAATAATGGAGTGCCAGGAGTGGCAATGTGCCAAACATAAATGCTATACAAGACTCCACTATTATTATCATCATTACCTTTGAAAACTTTTAGAGTCTCACGCTCCCACTGCCTAGTCATCACGCTTCATTAAAGGCCAATCACAATCATAGGTCAACAAAAGGTGTATTTCCAACTTCCTTATTCTATAGAAAGCCTTCTCACCATGATCCAATGATAACAAAGGAAAGTCTACACAATGGGTTCTCAAGGGGGAGCCATTTTCATGTCTCATTGTGAGTGCATTTATAGCTGAGACTTCCCTATAAAGGATGTCAAATTTGACTGGCAATTTTAGTCAGCTGTGAAAATTAAATAATATTGCTATATATCTTTAGCATTAGTGTTCACTAGAAAAAGCAGCAGACTGCATTATCATTTCTTAAAGAAAAAACTGAACAATAAATTTACCTTATTTTCTGTTCCAGAAATGTAAACTAGCCTTATTTACTCAAAACATAGATGTGTGGTGCAATGCACAGACATGTCAATACAATAGCATCACAATTACTATCTAACTGGTCCACCTTGATATTGTCTTGGTTTCAATAAAAGCAGAAAAATGAGAGAAACCAATTGGTGAAAGTTTGAGCCATATACAATTGAAAATAAGAAAGTTATGAATTGTTGTAGTTGTCATCAGTGAAACACGAGGTGACAACACTGTGAGGTTTCTTGCAAGCTCCTCTCCAATTTGCTCTGTACAGAATTTTTCATAAACTTCATTTTTCTTAGTTATCAATAACGGAATAGACTTGTTTCATACAGGGGTTGTATAAAAACATATTTACAATAATTGTATGTAGGGTGAATGTATGATTGGAAATTTATGAAGGGAAAGTATAATTTGTTCAAAGTTTCTTAGTACAAGGCAAATGGGAGAGAAGCTCGCAAAATATGTCACAGAGTTGCCAATTTTTGTTAGGTTGAACGCACCTTCAAAACTTTCTTATTTTTAATTCATTTTCAATTAATCTTTCTCTGAAAGGTTTCTCTTATTTTTGTGCTTATCTTAAAACCAACTTAATATCAGGGTGGACTTTCCCTTTAAATTGTATACCAAGCTGATGCATTGAGCTCACTACTTACATGGAAGAATATTCTTGTAACGGTTCTTGCTCTTGTTTTCTGCTTTATCACCAATTTTCCTTGGGAGGAGATGCTTATTGTCTAACAATTGCAATGCCTTTGAAGAAGAAAAAACATAACACAATTAAAACTGAATTTTTCCTTTAAAAAATACAATCAATATTTAATATCAACAATGCCGATTGAGAAATAATGTCTCTCATAGATTCACACACGCACACAAACACACGTGTGCACCATCTCTTTACCTCAATGAATATTCAATTATGTATTCTTTGAGGATTCCTAAAGAAAAGTTGCCATATTCCAAGCATTAGAGATCATAGCATGTGGTTTCAAGATTCTACAAATATCATAACATATCTTCTTCTTTTTGTTATTCTGAATCAATTGTACTTCAAACTAGGCTCTAATGAAGAGCTACGTGTATAATACCTGATATTCTTTTTTATAATTCTCATAACCTCCATCATTATAATAAAGCTTTACCTCAAATTCTTCTTCGAATCCAGCTTTCTTGGAGTTTTCTCTGGATTTAGTTTCCTTCTCTAAGACCTCTACTCGATTCCTGATCCCTGATGCAGAGATCCTGGTAGCATTGAAAGGCTGTAAGACAAACACAGGTACGTCCTTTAAATACTAGTGCTAACACCACAAATAAACAAAACTGTATATGAGTCTATCAGCATGTTTCTTCAGGATTTCAAACACGGTTAAGTTCCAGACTTTTTCAGGTACACACTACTGTAGAAACACACCATCATCAGATTTTAACGCTAACGCCAGCTAAAAAGTGTACATGTCTCTGGAAGTTCATTTGTCGGGTAGACACATGGGACACAATGTGTTACGTTACTAGAGTTTCCTCAATTTGATAAATTCTTAGATGGCATTCATGACACATTTTTTTTCATATAAATGGGATGTTTGTATCATTTGTGTTACCACTCTCTTCAATTTTTTCAAACAGTTTTAGTGAAATTGAACCTCATAATCTCTTTGGCTAATTTTAGGATAAATCTGATGGCCTCCTCAAGATGCCTCAAATCTAAATGCAACCTTACTATAAGTATAACATTATCTGCAGCCTCCCCAGGCTGTTCAGCTTTAGTCCATATTTGTCTTACCACTTTGAGATGCACCACATAGCCTGTTGTTTCCACCATTGGGTTTTTCCTGTAGTGGTCTACAAGATCTGTCAGGGTCTCAAACTGCTCGCCTCCACCAACATCATACTTGGTATCCTGTAATGACAAGAAAGCAAAAATGAAACCACCTTCCAAGGTGGACTGATATAAACCTTGGTTTAACTTAGTCTAGTGATCAATGGAGAACCAAGTATCAAGCTTTTTTATTCTGTCAAAAGTTGATATAAATCTGTAAGTAAATAATTAAACAGTCATGAAATGGAAAAGATTGATTTCTTGCTGACATAGGTTTCACTTGTTCATTTCTATACAGAAATATGGTAATCAAATATACCAGGCACTGAGAGGCTCCAATTAAAATTATGGATTCTCTGAGGTGACTGGCATAGCACCACTTTCTGAAGAAAATAGTGCTATGCATCAATTGTGTGGTTCATTGACAAAAAACAAAAAAATGAAGTGTAAAGTACATTTGAAAATGTACTTCAACTCACAAAATGCCGCAAACAGAATTACAATACAAAATATCTGCAATTAGCAAAAGTTTCTTGCTGTAAGAATGGTTGTCCTTTCACAATGCGTGAAATTTTCTTGTTATGCATTACTCAGCTGGGATGCAAAACGGATCGGAAACAACCACTTGTGTTTGGACATACTGACCTGGCATCTGATCATGACATGGGTGACCTTGTCTTCAGTGCGTACAGACAGTACATAATCACCCGGCTTACTGTGGCTCTCTCTGACAAGGTAACTGCCATTCTTGCCTTTATCCACCAATGACTTCTCTGCCTCCTTACCAGTGATGTGACCATGGAACCATCTGAAAATACACCAAACATTAAAGGCATCGCTTAACAATGTTTAATCTGAGATGCATGGCCCTTAAAATGTGTTATCACTGTCTGTGATATGGTGGAATGTTGAAGCCCTAAAAAATTTGCTCTTCAAAATGATTAAGAAGTGACTCAAAAAAGCAAAATCTTTGAGTGACCGGTTTTACCATACTCATTTTCCTCAATAGACTGTAGTGTTATAAAAACACAAAATTTAATTTCGATTTCTAGTCATAAATACAGTATCTTGATATTCAGACAGGCTTGTAAAAGTCATGGGATTCCTGACTGACCTAAAGGTTTATAATTATGATTGCAGCATGAGCTAAATCCAGGATTTTGTTTCAGATTCTGAGGCAATGTCACTGAGCCACTTTAAGATCAGAATGTGACATCAACAAACAGCAGTATATACCCCAAATAGCAATGGTGCCCAATTCTGTCACTGGTCTTTAAACCGATGTCCAGATGTATGCTCACGTGCAAGTTTGTTAGGTGGCAATGATTTTGAAACCTACAATTACCATACATACATTGTACAATATACATGTATAGGTAGCAGTATTAACATGAGATTTGACCTGGTAAAGTTGGTAAGACAGAGATTTCATTTTCATTTCAAATCTCTTTATTCCTCAATGTTTACTTTTGAATGCCCATATCTATTAAAGTACTATAAAATCAAATCTTACTTTGTGTCAGTGATAACTTACCAACACCTACACATGGACAAGTGGGGTCAAACAATTATTATGAAATGACAATCCAAGATATCAGTGTCCTTTATGATGCCATTCACAACATAATGAACATGAATCAATGTCAAATGTATAACTTAACATGATGTTCAGACATGCCCACACTACAGCGAAGCTGAATTTGAAACCTTGAGACCCAGCCTACCTTTCATTGGTTGGATCAGCACAGTTGAGGGGGTATTTGAGTTCTATCATCTGACCGTTGCGTTCTTTGAGTTGATTCCTGCCCTCTGTGTAATGCTGTACCAGCTCAGCCAGGGTAGCAAACTTCTCACCTCCATACAGGTCAAAGAAATCGCCTGTGTTCTGAATCTTGATGTGGGTCACCTCACCATTCCGCCTAATCATGTACGTAAGCACAGAAAATGAGAGATTTAAAGTGTGTTAAATGTGACATTATTGTGTTACATAATACACTGTGTGTCCCTATATGCATATTTTCAATGCAGCATTTGTATTGCTCAGTATAATTTTTCAGGGTATAAAATACATGTACAAAAGACACAAAAAAAACTACATTTATATTTACCGTAAATCTCTGTGTATAAGACGCCCTTTTTTTGCCGCCGAAAAAAAATTCAAAGTCGGGGGTGCGTCTTATACGCAGGCGCTATGCCTGGCAATGTCTCCCAGCTCAGTAATCGGTGTGCTGACTCACCACTCGGAAACTAGAACAACACTCAAATTTGTCTGTCATCTTGGTTTGAAAGTAATCTTTCTGATAGATTTCAATATGGTAGTTTATAACAATAATTCCTCCAATTTTTCTTCTATTACACACGGCGTACCACAAGGTTCTATCCTAGGTCCTCTACTGTTTTTTAATTTACATTAAAGATCTTACACATTCAACTGCAGTTAAATGAAAGTCGTTCCCGAAAGGGTTTTTTAACATGGACCGGGCTTGCTGCCGAGTCAGAAAAACAAAAACAAACAAAACAAAAAAAGGGGTGCGTCTTATACACAGGTGCGTCTTATACACAGAAAATTACGGGTACATTTACCCAATTCCTCCCCCACCCACCAAAAAAAACTGATGATGACCGTACACATGCAGTATGCATGGATATGGCCTGGGGGGTGTTTCACAAAGATCCTAAGTTGAACTTATCTCAAAGTTGGACTCAAAAATTATGGAAAGCCATTAGCATCTTTGAAAATATTTTGTAAAAGTTATTTTGAAAGGCATAAAATGTTGATTCAAATCATTCATATTTTCTATCATCAAAGAGATTTCATGTTCTGGATGTGGAATTTATAAAAAGTCTAAAATGCTTGAATTTCTGCTATATCCAATGGCTGTCCATATTTTTTAAGTCCAACTTAGTGTTAAGTTCTACAGGATCTTTGTGAAACACCCCCCAGGCTATATAAGCTATGATATGTCCATATATGACTAGTTTCAATAACAAGCACTTTTAATATTTGTTCAAGTGGTATAATGTAGGGTTATGTAAAAAAAAGAGTAACATCAAGTACTTGCAAAAGCTTGAGTACTATTCGTGATTTACTGGCCTGTAAAAAAACGAAGAGTCAACCCTACACTTCGTGATTAAATAACTTCTATCTACGAAAGTACCTACTCAAAACATGACCACATGAGTGATTAGTCTCTTCTCAGTGACCATTTACAATTATTTTGTTAATATCTGCTTCATGTACCATCACCGTTCTTGGTTAACAACGGTTTTTCAAAAAAATGTTGGGTCACTAAAAGGGAAAGTTGAGTTTTGTTGCAGAGGGCATTATGCATAATCATTTTTTGGTAAGATAATGAAAAACTGAGTGTCAAAATTGAAAGAAGATACAATTTAAATGACATCCCCTAGTCTCTCTTCCAGCCATCTCTGCAGACTATCCATGTACATACAAAATGCACTAATATTCTTTTTCATCCCCAGCTCTTAATCTTTCCTGTCAATGCGATGCTCTCCAATTCTCCTTCACATTTCAAGGGTCCCATAAATAAATCTCATGTACTTTCAATCCTTCGCTTAGTTTTCATTTCACTTCGACCCATCTTGTCACTTCCTCATTGCTTGTAAACTCTAGATCTCTTCATGAGACTCTCAAAAACTACCCATTGTATATAACCATCAACCTGTAAAGCAAATTTATAGGATTGGCCTATTTTTGTAAATCACTTTTTTTAAATTATCAGACTTAGCTTCCTTCTGTCCAATCCTTTAGTCAAGAAAATAATACGGTGCATGAATTAAAAACAATTATACAAAACTCAAGGCCTAAACAGGGAGATGACAGCATCTCCCTGGTCTAAGCAAAATCTCAAGTAAATACATGTACATGTACGCACAAAATGTAAAAAGAAAACAAATATTCTCACTACTGTGGTTCATTAAAAAAAAAAATAACTAGACTTGGTGGAGATGTATGTTTGAAGAAGAAAAAAATATGGGGTGTTTGCAAATCTAGAGCTACATGTGTATGGCATGCATGTATTGTACATGTGGGAAGATAAGGCCTTCATGTACAGTGTATATGATTAATGTACTGTATGTGAAGGACCATTCAATAAAGAAATTTAAAGACAACAGGAAAAACAAATCAGATGTTGGGTAGACATTGTCTGTTACCTACAACCTACATGTATGTTCTTAAAGCCCCTCTAAAGTGTTGGGAGCCCCCCAAATTTGATGGCAAAATTTCACTTAAAAACCTGTATCATAATGTGAAAGAGGATGTCATTTAAGATGCATTTCTGCATGGATTTTCAAAACAAATGTGTTTGAAGTCGAAAATATTTAAAATTAAGGTTTTATGCGGACAGCAAAAAATTCAAAATATGTTTTCTTTTATCAAAATTTGTCTTCAAACACATTGAGGGGGGGGGGGGCGGATCTTTGCAGAAGTGTGTCTTAAATGACATCCTCTTTCACATTATGATACAAATTTTGCCATCAAACTTTTGGAGCATTTGGGGCTCCAAACACTAGAGGGGCTTTAAACCCATTCGCGAAAATTGAGTTGACCACATTGTGTGGTTTGCCGTGTTAAAGTACAGACTGTATTGTGTCACAGAGCTTGAAAGTTGCCTTTCTTGCAAATGTTGAAATGATCGCAAGAGCCATGAGGCTTTTGAAGGGGCAGCCATTTTTTCAATGAGTCATCTTTCTAATAAGAGGTTGTCTGGCTGGCTATTTCTGGACTTGACTTGATTTCGTTTTCTCTCTATTCCCATAGCACAAGCTCCTAGAGTGAACATGTAAATTAAAACTATATCTGGGGTTCATGAAGGGGAAAATGTCCTCTAACCACAAACTGATTCCACTCAATACATTAATTACGACTCAAGGGTTTCTACAGAGTTCAGTAGAATGGCAAATACATTATAATTGTAGTGACGCAAGTATACTGTGTCATGAAATATATTTCATGTCATAGAGAATTCACATACAAGTCAAGCCAATTATACATGTACATGTAAGTAGACCTCTATAGCATCTGAAGAAACATACAAATTGAAACATTTTTTGCAGGTAATATTACAATTTCTACAAAAAACTACAAAAACTACAACTTCCATTATGTAGTTTTAGATTACATGTATCATTTAAAAAAGATTGTCAAGATATTGTGTAGTGTACAAAGTAACTATACAAGAGATTTAAAAAAAAACTTTTTGCCTTCTTAACTGAAAACCCAGGCTACACTGTATGTGCCAGATTAAATCCATCAAATTAAAACACAAAAAATGTCAACCTCTTCCTTCCATACACATTACCACAATTCCATACAAATAAACATATATAAAATCTTGCCATTTTGAAATATCTCCTCTCATTTTTACATTATGAACAGACTAATATCAAATGCTTGTTCATTTTGTTTGTAATTTTGATATTTTATACAGAATGTAGGGGGTAAACGATGGGCCTTCCATAGAGTCAGGTTTGACTTATGCCACTCTCAAGAATATGGACCATATTACAGGTGTATATTCTTAATATCATAATTTAAAAGTTTAGGAAAACCAGAATACAATGAGCATAAAGGAGGAAATGTTAACAACACAATTACACTTTAATATGAAATATCTAATTCATCTTTTTTCCTGTATCCCAAAATTTTGGAACAATACCAAATTCATGCAGTATTGACATTACCAATACTTTTATTGAACATTGTACTGTACATCCTATTCCTAAGCAAACAGTTGCAATGCATTTACAGTTTACAGGCTTACAAAATGAATCAGTTTGAATGTCACATTCCAAACATGAACATAAATGTGGTAAATGTACATTGCAAATATTATACCCAAACAAGGAAGTGAACAGAACTTTATTCACCCAGCAAGTACTAAGAGCTGAGAGGTATATTGTGTTACGGTACTTGTTCAATTGTCCATTATTTGTGTTTTTCCCATGCTGTGCTCTTTACAGACATCCCATCTCCGAACCAGGTCAGCTCTTCAGTCTCTGCCTCGTAAGAATCTACATTAACCCTAAACCAAACCACGCTCTAATAGGTGACCCTATGGAGCGCCATGCCTTTAACACGGCAGCTTCCGAATCGATAGTCGTAAAAAAAGTTTCGACTAATGGCCCCGAACTTTGAGATAAATTTTCAGTACCCTAACGACCTCTGATTGAAATAGAAAGAAAAACATTTGATTGAGGAACTCCCTACGTACATCCACAAAAATTGTTATACCGGTATATCTAAAAACATTTTAAAACATGAACATAAATGTTGCACATCTTATACCCAAACAAGGAAGTGAACAGAAATTTATTCACCCAGCCAGTACTAAGAGCTGAGTGGTATTGTGTTACTTGTTCAACTGTCTATTCTTTGTGTCTCTTCTCAAGCTATACTCTTTACAGAGATCACATCCTTCAACTGGGTCAGCTCTTCAATCAATGCCGAATAAGAATTTACATTAAAGGAACTACTCACAACGTTTGTTTAAAGATCATTTTAGACACTAAATCAACAAAATTAACAATAATTGTTTTGATTTCAATTTTCAACAAAAAAATTGTTTATCACTTGGTAGGAAGTAGACAAAAATCCACAATTGAACTAGTTTCACATTTCTTAAAAATTTGAAGTAGCTTTCTAGCTTTTACGGGTGATGTTTACACTGGTATTGTTGTTAAAATTATTCAATTTCTCAGTTGTTCAGGATGTTTAGCATGCACATGTATGGATTCCAAAATGGAAATCCTTTAATAGGGCGAGGCTCGACACCAACAGATGCCTGGGACACATGACCACCTCAAATCCAAGCCCCGATCCCACCCCTACCCCCCCCCCCCCCATCCAAGCCCGGACCTCTCAAATTGTAACTTGTTACACAGGGCTCATGCATACGAGTTCAACCTGGATACCCTTCCAAAAATTATTGTGTGGAGCCTTGTAATAAGGTCGGGATATGGTTATTTATTTGGATGACCAAAATCAAAAGGAAACAGTTTGGCCGGTTCTTCATACACAAATCTCTTCCTCCTAGTAGATTTGTTTATTGATAAAGCGTATGTCAAAAGCTTGTGGTGAAATCGCATCATGGTACAAAGTGTCAAAAAGGCAGTTTTTATTGTTTAATACATGTAGTAATGTACCCAACATATCCTAATGGAAATCTGCATATAAGACAAGCAAAATCTAAAGTCTGCAAAAAGAAACAAATCTCCACTAATTTTCAACAAAAGAAAGCATGAATCATGATTTAAATAAACAAATATGTCAAAAATTAATGGACTGGTGAAAAAAATTAGCACAATGTGGTCTGTAAGCGATCAGGAGTTCATGAACTCACTAGACAGATACATATATTCATTTAAAGGGTCTGATTGAGTACTATTTGAAGGTATGTATGAGTTCATGCATAGAGAAATGAGTTCATGCATAGAGAAATGAGCTATTATTCTTCTTTTCTTTGTTTAAATTCCCATATGGTTGAATAACATAGAAGCAACATTCATGTCACATCATAAAATGAGCATCACCAATATTTGTTTTCAAGTACACCTGTATGTCAAATGTCCCTTTTTTTAAATAAATGAATGAAATAAATGTTGCATTTAAGTGGGAGCATTGTGGTATAATGGTGAAGGTTCTTGATTCCCATACAAGACGTCCTAGGTTACACCCTTGCCTGGTGCTTACATTAAGAGAAAGTATTTTGTCCACATTTGTCCCTCTTGACCCAGGGGTATTAATCTGTTGCCTACTGAATTCTCTCATTCCCATATACTTTACACAGGAAGACACAGAAGACAATGGGTTAAACAGGTACCTCCATGTACATGTAGCAATGCAAGGCCCACAGGAAGAGTACTAAAAATGCTGATGAGGTTAATATACATGTAGGTTAGTAAGAATCAACTTATCAATAATCAATTATTAATCATAAATTCTTTCAAAGCTCTAATCTGTCATATTTGTCTAAGTGTCATGTAAAGAATGTCCTGTACGTGACATATCAAAGTAAACATAAAGGTCCATACCTGACTGATAGTGTGAAGTCACCCGGGTTGCTCTTGCTAGGTCGACATAGAAAGCAGCCATCAAAACCATTGTTGAGAAGGAGCTGTTCAGCCTCCATCCCAGAGATGTTTGGGTGGAACCATCTGGAGGACAAGGTTAGCAAAATAATGATGTCTTAGTCAACTAGTTCAAACATTTAGCTAAAGAAAAGAACATTTCAATTTTAACTTCCATTCGAATCTACAATTTCACTCATGAAACAGAAAAAACATATACAGTAAACGTTACATCAGGACAAGTATTATAACAAACAATTCAATTTTAAACAGTTGAGAAAAAATGAGAAAAAGGGTAAACTAAAGATTTAAAAAAATCACATTAAAAAAAAAAAATGTTAGTTAGAAAGTACATGTACATTGTCAAAATATTGGCATAACTGTTCAGTATCTCTTCAGTTTCCATGCATTTGGTTTACGTGTTTTGGGGGGTAAAGGAGATTCAATGAATGCTGTAAAGGTAAAACTGCTGGGGAATTTCTCCATTAAAGCTGCTCCTTTAAGCTTGTGACATCTTCATAACAATTCTACCTTTAAGATAGAAGGAAATGACATGTTGAAAATCACAGGGAACCATCTCATTATCCTATTAGTGTCATGTGACCAAAATAAGGACAGAAGCTCAGGGGAATTTCCCTGTCTACCTTTAGCATGAAACGATGTTTAATAGCTAAGTAAATATCTGATTACTTTATCAAACAGACAATACCAGCCTTGATCTACATACATGTTTGTTTTTTTAAATTTATAAATCAATCCAATCAATCAATGTTCATAATGATATCTTTATATTAAAATGTACATGTATTGTATTTAAAGTGCAGATACAAGGTATCATTAACAATGTGATGAAAGGGGTCAAAGCTACATGTACATGAAGGATTTATGATTCTTTTTAATGTTGCTCAAGATTGTTTTTGTTTATCCCCCAAAATTATAATATCCCGATCACCAGAACAGTGACTTACATAACAGTACACACCATAAACAATCAGGCATTGTCATATTAGGAATGTCCAAACAGAACAATGTGTACAACAATTCTGTTCTGTATTGCCAGCAGGGTTGCCAAGTTTAAAACACTGACATTTTACCAAATCAGGCAAATTGAAGTGCTTATACTGTAATCATGTACATGTACATGTATGTATATCATGTACATGTATAGTGATTGCAACTATTCAAGTGGATTTAACTTTCTTATTTTTTGTTTGATTTAATTCAAACTTTCACCAGTCTGCTTCTCACATTTGTATGCTTTCTTTTTAAGTGTAATGTACATGTAGATGTCTGTTAAGGTAGGATTTCCCTTTAATTTAAATTCAAACATTATACTGTGCAGTATATTTTGTACATGAAAGAAGTTTTTATGTCCAAATATTACGCTGTATTATGTGCATGTACATGTGGGTCTGGCATCAGTAAAAGGCTGCGTACTAGATACACATGTTGGAGTACACATCCCCTCGTCTTAGGCATCTTCTGTCAATTATGGCTGTGAAGTGCACTAGGAGGGAGGAATCGAAAGACAAATTGAATTACCAGAGCGGGCTCCCAGCCCAAAGGGAAATGCTCTCCATGGACATGTCTGCAATTAATGTGCATCCCATATTAATAGACAGACCTTTAGATACAGTACATACACCCTTTTTCAGTCTTTAGCACTTAGCAGTGGTTGAATACTTTTTACTTGTTATGGGTTCATGATGGAGAAAAATGAGAACCAAAATGACTACCATGCAGGGGAAGTGTTTACATACATGTAAGGCCTACAGTGCGTACATGTGCATATACAGTTTAGAGGCAATATATTAAACATACTAATTAATCACATATTAATCTGCAAATCTTCGCTGGAAAGTCGCCTGAATGTTTGGATCGTTCAGGAAATCGCAGACAAAAAAAACACTGTATGGTATCCGCGCTCGTACAAAGAAACTTTTAACATGTAAACCAATGGGATCTCATCAAAATGCGGCCCGTTAACCGGGGCATTCGGGCATCTTTTGAAAAGATTATTAACCGGTAGGCCGGAATGCGGGTATCTTTTAAAGACTTTTGACCAGTAGGCGGGCAACTAAAATCACGACTCCAATTTTGACCAATCAGACGGCTAGATTTCTAAAGAGTCTAGGTATATAAAGTGAATGAGTAACAGATAAATGAGTACAAACACAGACGCATTGGTATTTCATGATCGATTCGACCCTACTGGGCTAATTCGGCCTCGCATTTGCAGCAAGGCAGAGTTCTCCCAAAATCCGAGTTGGCCCGACTCCTGTACAACATACAAAATGTACATTATACTCAAACCAAAATACCTTCACTTTGACATGAGTGAACATGTACGTACATTTTTTTATAAATGTAATGCTTCCTGGGAGAAATTTCAATAGTTTGAACATATTTGTGGCTTACACCCAGTAAATGAGATCGATTGATCGATCTGTAATTGAAAAACAAGTCAGAAAAAATCTTGGAACAAGCGGGATTTGAACCTGCCATCTCCTGCTTGCCGGGCAGCGACTCTACCACCAGGCCATCACTGATCCATGCCACAGTCACGATGAACTAGAAACAAATACCCAAGCTCTCCTGATTCATTCTGACTTATTAATATTCATTAGTCCGCCATAGGACAATATTACTTTTATAAATGTAATGCTTCCTGGGAGAAATTTCAATAGTTTGAACATATTCGTGGCTTACACCCAGTAAATTTACTGGGTGTAAGCCATGAATATGTTCAAACTATGTACGTACATGTAGTTCATTTATTTTCATTACCTAGTTGTTTCCTTTCTTTCTCAGATTTATTTCATGTTTACATGTAAAAGTGATCAGTGTCTTATTTTGATTCAGATCAGGGGAGCAAGGGAGACTAAAAATTCGCCTCTTTTCCTTCTTTTTTTTCTCAGTTTCTTTCTCGTGTGTAAATATATATATATATCATCTTTATTCAGACCAGGAAAGTAATGAAACAAAAATCCTGCCAAAGAAAATTTCTACAGAATGTATATTTCTGTACAGACTGTACAGACTTCAGAGTCAATAAATTTTTTCTTATCTAATCTCATCGAATCTACAGGTATCTCATGACATTTCGATAACCATCATAAGTCAATAAATCAGAGAGTCTCTCTTCCCCTAAATTACAAAGTAATAAACTTACATGTACATGTATGATGCTATTAAAATACATTTCAGGTTTGCTGGACTTTGTGCTTGGCTCCACTCAGTGAAATAAGGTGAGTTGTAAAAAGACAAATGTGCTGTATAAGCTCATCATCATACAAAGGAAACCATGGTTTCCTGCAAGCCCATTTTAGCCCCAAAAAGGAGAGCACAATCTCTACAGAAATAGACATTTCCTTTGGCAGATTGTTAGACTTGATGGCTCCCCTAGTCTGAATCACAATGAGACACTGGGCACATTCACACACAGGGGAGAAAAGGAGATTTGAACTAAGATTTAAATCAACGTTTTAAGCTCCTATTTAACACGTGGGATAAAATTCACTTCCACTGCCCTTTACTGCAACACACAGAGTGCATATACAGTATGCAAGTCAGGGTTATTTACACTCACAAAAAATGAACTACTGCATATAATATATACAAAAGATTTGATCGCTCTAATTAATAAAGGCATGTTCACAAACATGTACAGTGTACATGACACAGCAAATTGTCTCAAAAAGCAAAAAAAAAACAGCTATTACAGTGTAAAACAGAAAAACGAAGAAGACAACAAGAAAACCTCCCTCGTCCCTCGTCCCTCCCCCCCCCCTAACAAAAAAATAATAATAATAAAAATAACAAATAAACAGTTGGAGAAAAAAATTATAGGTAAATTTCCCCCAAGAGAAGGAGGAAATGGAAGGAAAAAAATGCTTCCTGCTTCTAAAAGGACACATGAACTTTTCCCCACTTTATTTCATAATAGACTCTACATGTGCATTTTCGAAGTGGGGCTTCAGAAGTCATAACCTACATGGTACTAGGCCTGTAACCGATCATCGGATCGGGGGCCGATCTTGAGCTGATCAGGTGTGATCGGATAATAATTTCTGATCGTTGATCAATAAAAATGATCGGAAAAAAATTGGGAGATTTTGTTTTAATGCCGAAAATTTTCAAGTTTTGGGCTATCAAATGCTTTTAAAAAAGTCATACATGTAGCTGGGATTATTTTGTCATTTGGAGTTGTTGTAGACCATGTTTGTTGATATTAGTGCCTTTTCATGACTTTGAAATTAATAATATTGGTCTATGAGAAGAGGCAAAACATGCGGACCGCCATCTTGGATTATAATGTACTGTAGGCATGTGTACTTCCATAGTCAAAGTTAACACAAACATGTAGCATTTACTTGCTACTTGTTTACTATTAGTCTATAAATTTATCAATTTATTCTTTTTCAGGTTTTTCCAAAATTATAGACTCATGTCAAGTCAATTTCTGGACCTAGAGAACCTTGCATTAACATGTATAAATCAAAAACATATTTCATATTTATAAGAAACAAGAAGGTACCGGTGCACACAAAATTGAATATTATAGACATACATGTACATTATAGACTAACAATGAAGAAAAGAAAAAACACCCCTAAGATTCAGTTTAAAATAAATTATATATAGCATATCATAGAACACACATACATGGACATGTACAAAGCAGTCTAATACAGGTAGTAAATGAGAATATGTGATATTCACAAGAAATGAAAATAGAAATATTGAACAACAAAGTATTTTAAAAAAGTAAAAAGGAATTTAAAACCAAACCAATGAGAGAAATAAAAAGTAAAATCCATCTGGAAAAAAAAACATTTCCAAGAGAAATTGGAAAGTGTAAATTACAGATAAAGATTTACAGTTTTGAACATTAAATAGCAACGCCTTTATTACCATAGGCCTACAGTGGCATTTTTATGGAAAATAAATTGATCTTGTAAAATGTCGAAGGCCCTTTTCAAATCAAGGAAAAGAGCACCATTGACTACCAGGTACACATGCCTTTGTCCATATTAATGTATCTACACTGTAGTATAGGCTGAATAGCTTCAACTATTTTGGTCAAGCATGTCATTGTCAATGTTGAATACCCAGGCCTACAGTGTACAGTGTACATCCTAATTGATGTTCCCTTGGGATAGATTTTTAAAAAAAATACTAATTAATCACAATAACTGGAACTACTGTACATATAAATATTGCATTTTCTAGAGGAAACTAAGATTACAGTTGCTAACTGAGCACTGTGCGCCTGTGTGAAGTTATCTACTGTAATGAGGATCTGAGACATTACGGTAGATAACTTCACTCAGGCGCGCGCACGCCCGCCCGCAACCCACCATTGGTATAGTATTGTGCAGCGGTTTGCCGTGAAACCTGTGAAAAAGTGTATACTAATATCAACATTTATCTGAAAAATATTCCAAAAATAACAAGAAAATTGACACGAAACAGGTAATAAACATAACAACTTTTAACTCATGACCTTTATTTGGACATTTAATGTAGACTATTTACTTCATTTTGGGTAAGTTTGAGTAGGGTATCTTCATGCCGGAGTTACGGGTCAAATTTTGGATAGGTTTCTGAACAAGCACCCAATTACCTACATGTATATCCTGATTAGAGTCTATACGATATCTTGCCTTGCAAATTATGATTTTACCTTTTTTTTGATGGATCACATTTTGGTATAAATCAGCTGTAAACCCAGTGCGAGAAGTAAAGGTCTTGTTGTTTTAATGACTTTTTCAGTTCCAGTGTGCACGCCGATCGGACATCAAATTTTTAGATCGTAATACGCCTGGAATCCTCATTGAATGATTGATGATAAATTAAGAGTAAGACTCTAACGTCTACTGTTTCTAGACTCTAGGTCTACTCTAGTTGAACCAAATTGTAGTAAAAAACTTTGCCGTCCATTTGGTAATAATTCAATTGAAATAAATGAATTTGTGAAGAACATGAGATATCATATTCATAGATCGAATATCACATTTGTTTATATTTTCAAAATTCATACAGCCAGGAATACTCACACTTCCATCTACTACAGTACGACTTCATAGCCAACCCGGCAGCTCAGGCCGGGAAGTGCACATTCATTGGCATTGTAAACTGTACTACAGGATTGTAGTCTTTTTGACTCAACTCAACAATCATCTCGACCAGGCACAACCAAAAATCACACATTCATGACATTTGAAAGATATTACTGAAATCGCTTAGGAAGAAAATAACAATAGTTTAATTACCTTCTAGACGCCATTGTCAAATCTCGGTTAAATAAGATTTATCTACCAACTCCGCAATATATCCGGGTCTCTCACCCCAAATTATTATATCAAAGGTTTGCTGTGTACTTTAGAGATCGAGAGTGATTGCTTGTATTGCATTGTACGCTAATGATATGCACATCGCTCTCGTACGCGCGGTATATAGAGAGCGTGCGTATACAGTCGAACATAGGCGCCTATTATGCTACAGTATTTGTGTTAGGCGGGCGCGCCCGGCCGTGCGAGGTATAAGGACAGCTCAGAGGTTATCAGTGCCGGATTCAGGGGGGGGGGGGGACACAGGGGTACGTGCCCCCGGTAAAAAAAAAGAATAAGGGGGAAAGGGGAAAAGAGAAAGGGAGAAAAGAGAAAAAAGAGGGGGAAAGAAACAGGAGGGGGAAAAGAAAGAACAGGGAAGAGAGAATGAAGAAGAAAAGAGGGAGGAGAGAAAAGGGGAGAGGAGAAAACTGTGAAGGAGGAAAGGAAGAAAGGGGAAGAGAAAGGAGAGAAAAGGCGGAAAAGGAAGAAAGAGGGAAAGACGGAGGAGAAAAAAGGGAAAAAGGAGAATAATGAGAGGGGAAAAGAAAGAAGGGGGATGATATTATAAGAAGGTGTTTTTTTTACCGGGAAAGGGGGGGGGGGCACGCAATTTTGCAGTGTGCATTATATGAGGTCCCTCTTGGCAGGTGTGTAGCTCCCCCCCCCCCCCAAAAAAAAAAAAAAAAAAAAAAAAAAACAAAAAACAAAACACAAGAAGAACACAAAAAGAGAAAAAAGGGGGAAAGAGAGAATTTTTGTGAAAAGGGAACAAAATGAAGAGAATTAAACAACGATAGAAGAGAGGTGCGAGAACATGAGGAATTGAATTTCTTTTAAAAGAATACGGGATAACAACCAGGGTCAGCGTTAAAGGGGGTCGTGGGGGTGCAACGTCCCCCCCCCCCCCACCTGTCAGGATATTGGCGGTAAAATTGCGCTGCTGTCGGGGAAAAGTGAGGAAAGGGGGAGGGGGGAAATGAGCCTAGGGAAAGGAAAAGAAAAGAAAAGACAAGGAAAAGAAAGGAAAGAGAAAAGAAGAAAGAAAGAGAAGATAGAAAAAGAGGAAGGAGAGGAAACAAAGGAAAAGAAAGAAAAGAAAGAAAAGAAAGAAAAAGAGAAAAGGAAAAAAGAGAAAAGGAAAAAAGGAAGAGAAAAAGGAAACAAAAGAAAGGTGGAATGAAAGAGAAGAGAGAGATGGGGGAATGTTTTGGGGGTTAAACCCCCCTCAATAAACCCCCCCCCCTTTTTTTTGTTGCTCAAGGGGGGGGGGGATGTATGTTGAGTAAAAAAAGAATTAATGCTCCTTTCCCTCCGTTTCACTTCAAACTACAAACTTTTCCTACTTTAAAGGAGCAAGGGGTTAAATCCCTTCCCGGCCTAGACAATCTGCCCTTTAAATGTTTACCATCTAGTACATTGTGCCGCCAGAGTATTTTAGTCTTATCAAAATTATATTTTGGAATAAAAATAAACGTCAACTGCAGGAATGCAAGATACATCTCGCTAGGTATTTTGATGAAGAAATAATATTTTACACATTCTAAAGTGTATACACTTTAGAATGTATATATGCTTTCTGAAGGGGAGGGAGAAGATAGAGGGAGAGAGAGAGAGAGAGAGAGAGAGAGAGAGAGAGAGAGAGAGAGAGAGAGAGAGAGAGAAAAGTATTTATCTCATATACCAAATATAAATTTAAGAAAAAATATCACAAAACTACGACTGAGCGCACACAACTTACCCATAAAAACGGGAAGATATAAAAGACCAGAAAACATGCCTCCTGGCTTAGTTTACGATTCTGTGAAGACTTCAATGATGAATCTACTCGTACATCTTTATATTTATCACATTTCCTAGTTATAAAATTGATAAATATAAAGATTACGAGTAGATTTTCTTGAAAAATCAGCGATTTGGAAGAAAATTTTAGTAACTTGGAATGTCAAGAAAAATTCATATATATATAATGAGATTAGACAATAAAGATATAAAAGATCTTTTCTCTTCGTTCATCAAAAACATTATTGCAGTAAGGGGTAACTTTTAGACTATTTTTTATTATGTAACAACAAAGTAAAACAAAATATAAATACAAACTTATACAATTTGATAAGAGATAAGTATACAGCCTTTTTATGTTCTCTATATTTCTTTTATATACTCGACCTAATGTATTAAACGACAATGATCAACCTATATAGACAAGGCAAAAATTTACAATCTTGTGTTTTTGGTTCAATTTTACAGTAGGTCGCATATTTAAGTACTATTACGTCATTTATTTTAGGCCGAATGACTACCTATTGCATTCCATGTATTTTGTATATTACATGAGTTATAATTTATTTAGAAAATTGCTATATAACGTTTTATATATCTACTATCTTCGGATGTATTATTACGTGAAGAAAAAAGAGTTTTCTGCTGTATATAATTTTCCTTCTGTTTTGCTACACTGCATTGTAAATTAATTGATATGATATATATGTTTACAAACAGAATATTGAATTGTTACATTGTATTGTAAATTGATTTATATGATTATATTTCATTGCCTCAATATGTCCACTTTCTCTTTAGAAAGCGAAATATATATGTCATTTCTTTTTGGCTCAGCCCAAACAATTTTTTTTTCTTGTTACACTCGGCCGATACAATACAATCCCTTTTATTCCTTTACTATTAATATAATAATATCCGGACCATCTTCGCTTGGTGTCAGCTTGGGTTTGTCCATATTAGATCGCCCTCCCATGGGTGGGTTGATTTTTGCTCATATAATACATTTTTTTCACACACACGGTGAGTTTGTTAGCTCACCCGGTGTGATGGGGATGTGCGCATCTTCAGGTATACTTGTTGTAGTCATCCATGCTGTGGTCGATGCATCGTTGGGTAGTTGTTCTCTGAGAGTATTTTGTAAATAGTTTTATATATTCCATATTTGTTGTTGTATTCATGAATCAGTTATCTTTGTCACATCATTATGAGGGGGCCTTAACTTAACAAGCTGTGCTTCAACTAAGGTCTCCTCGTCTTTCTCTATTCTACATTGCACTGTTATTGTACTGTTATGATTATACTCTATTATATTTTGTCACATGTGTTTTCTGGAAGACAAATAAACTTGAACTTGAACTTGAACTTGAACTTATATCTGCCACGAATATTCCGGACCCAAACGAGAACACAGCACTGCAAAATACGTATTTTACAGTTATGTTGGTGCCATAGAGATATATACTTATCTCTATGGTTGGTGCAGACCCTTGCTTTATTATTTGTCTCCTTGAAGACACCGTCTTATCACGATTTTCAGGATCCTCTGTGAGTAAAACCGCCCAGTTTATTATGTTTTTTGTGTGAACCAAGTGGGTCTAAACTTTTATCAACAGAAAATTCGTTTATAGATGAACTTAACATTTACTTAGTACTACTTTTATATCAATTTAATTGTTTAATATACGTTTTCCTGGACAGTTTTTCCAAGTGTGGGGACTAGTGTGTAGTCCCACAACCTGAAATCCACGTAAGTCGCAACTGTCAGATTCTAAAGTTAGAATCTCGATCTAAACTCACACATGACATAGCTGCATTACTATCCCATAATCCTGGCTGTGTATTAAAAACTGTTCTATTGATTCTCAACATTTCAAACACCACTGTACAAAACTCAACTGAGCTGAGTTCACTCAAAATCGGTACTTTAGTGACAATAGATTGATGACACCTAAAATACAATCTTTTCAACTTACTGACGCTGTAATCTGTATGTTGCTGGTGTGACTTTGATTTTTTAATCTTTTTCTCTTCTCTCGGATTTCATTTCATTCATTACCTGGGCTATTTTAGCTGAGGGTTCTTCTGCACTTCTTAATAATCTTTAACCATCATGAAGACAAAATTATGTTATTATGATAATATGATATCATGTTATCCAATATAACTCATAAAAGATTCATTAAATAGTGCATGTAACTCTCTTCTAATTACTGTTTTGAAATTGACTGTCTGACAGTGTCGGGATAAACAACCTGTCCGGACACACAATGTGAGGGTTCTACATATGCGTTCATGCAATTTCTTTCTTGTTTTTCTCCTGAACCACAGGCGGCTGCCGGCTGCCTGCCCATCATGTCAAAGAGCAGTGCCTTTGAGTGTCTCAGACCATTATGTGTGGTGTTGATGAAGGAGCAGACCTTGGAGAGCATCCAGGCTGTAGCGAGGAGCATCCAGGATCTAGATACAGAGAGTCTTCAGGCATTGCAACAATATGTCCTCTTCCCTCTTAGGATCCTCCTTAAAAACCAATCAAAACTGTGAGTTAGTTATCTCAAATTAATTGCAAAGTTTACTTATCTCATTTTAACAAACTTGTTTGATGGTTTGTGTATTTTTTTGCCGTTGGTAAATCATCCTAATGATTATTCAAATATTTGCAGAGTTTCAAGCTAAATCATTTTTATGTATTTCACTGTAATGTATGATGTATTTATTACATGTATTCGCAATTATATAAGTGCCCAATAATTCAACGCTAATGCCTGTACTAGAAAGAAAATGTAAACTATGAGCGAATGAAATGACACTCTTATATTTTTTCCTTTACTCTATTTTCTCTCTGTTGTCTTCCCCAGCTTGTCCCTTTTCATTTCTCCCTTTCTCTCTTTACTTTGTATATAAATTGTAAATTTGTTTATGTTTACTATCAATTTGAAGTACAATATGTTCAATGGTTCTTCTTCATTTCTAATGTAAGTTTTTGTTTCTTGTCAATTTTGGTGAATTTATCGGATTCTTCGATATAATTTTAAACAATGCAGCTATGTAATCTTTGTTTGTATTTATCATATATATTTTAAATACTTAGTTTTCATCTTAAGTACTGAGATACCTGAAATTAAATACAAGTGTACTTTCAAAAAGTTCCTAAATCTGGGCCCTGTTTCATAAAACTTAATTGTTATCAATAACAAGTTATAATAACTGGTATAAGCTACTGAAATAGTGGCATTTGATTGACTGAGAGCATATTTATCATAGAAATTTAGCATTTGTTATGAAACAGGGCCCAGGTTATCCAAAAGTATGGTGTAGGTAATTTAACACCTCCCTGGCCGTCAACTGACAACTTCTCCTCCCATTTCATATAAATGAAATTTAACAAGTGCTTCTGTTTTTCCACATTCTGTTCTTTTAGTTCAACTGGAGTGTGTGAAGCTGGTGTACTGTGCATGCAAAGCATACTGGAGAAGACAACTCTCGTCAACTGGGAAATGTTCTCTGATATCTTCACAGCTCTGTGTGTTACAATCAGCTCCAAACAGTCCAATGGGCAAGGTATGTGTCATAGACCATTTCACCACGCTGTATTACTATCAGTTGGAAGAGGCTCTTTTTGTGACAAGCAGGATACTAAATATGTGTACATCTCTTCTCTGAATATTTACGATTGAGCTCTGTCTAAATAAACAGTTGCAATCAATCACAACTTATTTTCGATTGATATCAATTGCAACTATGTACATAAGAGATAGGTCATAGAAGACTCAATATTGTAAACTTATGATTGATTGGAGGAATTGCATTTGATTTGGATCAATCACAAATATTTATAACATGGGGCGCTGAAATCATTTACCTATCCTGTGTAACACAAGCAATATTTCATGTGCTGAACATATCACCCAAAGAATTTTTTTTGGTCATGAACTGAGTGTAACTTGTTTATGATGAATGCTTCGTTTGATTATGTTCCCTGAATGTGAGTATTGAAGGCAAAACATTGTGGAAAGTGAGCCAGAAAGGCAGAAAGTATAATTTGCTTTACAAGAAGATGAGTTGAAATGTCTCATTGTATCTTAGCATCTGACGGATCTGAAGAGTTGAAGCTAGCGGTAGTGAAGGCATTGACAGCTATGCTGAAATCTGCTGACCCAGCGTGAGTATAGCATTAATGAATACAACAAACAAAACAAGCAAAATAATTATCATCAAGTTTCTTAAAAGAAGATATACTGCAATGAATAATCTTGATTATTGCAGCACAATTATAAATAATTTTTTCTTGTTAGAACTTTATACCTTTTATAGTTTATTTTGTTTGCATCAATGCTAGTTGTAATAATAAGTGTCAGAAAGTGCATTTGTAGTAGGAATTATTTTCAATGATTATCATCTCTGTCTGTCATCTAGCTATCAATTGTGTCATTAATTTTTCAATGTAAAATCTTAACTTCAATAAGCTAAAAAGACAACAGAAAACTATTGTTGATTTATAAAGAAGAAAGAGGGTGGTAAGGGCATTTAAGATTAAATTTTTAATTAATTGAAATATATAATTTTTTCTGCTATGTAAACAAATGTTTTACAGGATTATTTTACAGCTGATGTCTCCCCAGTCTTTGCCCATGCTAGGGCATTGTATCTCTCTACTTCTGAATCTGTCTGAGGCTGAGAAAATGAAAGAACTTCAAGTCGCTGCCCTGAAATGTCTTACCAGCTTTGTGCCAGGTAAACAAAAATCAAGATTATATAAACTCCTCAAAAAAAGAAATTCTGCAGATCAAGTTTGAGCATTAATTGCTATCTCTTTTGATATGATATTACAATACTTGAATTTAGTATCATTGAAAAGCCACTTTATTTCACTTTACAGTGATGCCCTATTTGTAATGGTTAATGTGCAATAGAGTTGAATATGGGGCCAAGTGAAATGTTGCAGAATGCATCGTCAACAGTGAACTCTGCCTTTGTCTGGAGGATGTATTGTGTTTGGTAATGATATTGAGGCAGTCATGTATGAATGCCAGTGGGGTATTCTTCTATTCTTTAGAAAATTAAACTTGTTTTTAATGATGTTGAATGTTGATGTGGTAATTGAGGAAGTGCAATGTGTTGTTTTCACCTTTTGATTGGAAGATGGAATGTGTTTTGCTCGACTGATTGTGAGATTATTATTGAGTTTGAGTTTCATACAGATTATTGCAAGTTTGTCAGTTTTCCACTCCACCAAACACTCAATCATCCATAAATACAGTGGGAACAGTCTACAAATCAATGACAATGACTGCTTTGAAATCACAACTAAGATCTTAATTGTTCAAAAATGCTTTTTGATGTCATTTAAACTGCATTATTGTATTTTATCATGATTTAAACAAACTATAAAAGAGTCAATAAAAGGAACTAGCCATAAGTACAAATTGAAAGAAAAAATGGTAAGAACATCAAATAAAATGCTTGTAGCACTGAAGATTAGTGTAATTGTTCATCAAGAGTCAACAAAAATTCCCCCAAGAAAATGCAAATTATTACCTGTATGCTGATATTTTAATTACAGATTCTGATTTGATTTTCATTTACATTTGAATTCTCATTCTTTGAATGGAATGTTTTTGTTTGTTAAAGACGATGATGCGTCGCTGGTATACGGAGAAGCTTCTAAATGTTTTGCATCATTCCTACCTGGCCTCTCAGTGACGATCAGCAGAGTCATCTTGGCCAACCCAAAACAAGGACAGGTAAGGGTGATGGTAATTGCCGTTTGGTCTACAACCAGTTTGTCTACTATCCACATGGTCTAATAATCATTTCGTCTACTCATCATTTGCCCGTGGTCTATAAGGACCATGTAGGCTAATAGTCATTTACCCATTTGGTATATTGTTCATTTAGTCTAATAACCAGTTTGTCTAATGCTCATTCCGTCTACCATCCAGAAGGTCTAATAATTTATTGAGGAATATTATTATTTATGATTAAAAGATCATGGGATAGCTAGACCATACTGCAATAAACCGATTTGTTCATATAGTTTACCTGCAAGAGTCTTTTTGACAAATGTAATACTTGGCAACTGTTAATTGTGACCAAACTTGGGTGAGAGATACTTTCAGAGGACCTCCATGTTCTAGTTGGAGGTCATTTCCTAAGGTTAAAGATCAATTAAGGTTTTCTCTACTTGCCCCCCCCCCCCCCCAAAAAAAAAAAAAAAAACTCTTATAATTAGTAACTTTGTATACATTGTTCCAAGTGCAATCAAACTGATATAAGTTTGTCACAAGTGGGCAAGACACAATCTGGCTATTGCTTTGTTTGATACATCTAAGTCTTTTTCTAACACGAGTAGATTCTCAGCTTTAATATGATATAAAACTCAACATAAATATCAAAGAAATACCTGTAGGCTAGGATTGCAAAAAAACAAAAACTAATACAACAAACTCCAGATCAGACAAACATCGGTCTACCAAAAACTTCTAAAATCTGCACATTGTTCAGTGTTTTAAAAATGTTGAATTACTGAAAAATCCTGCTTTTTTGATACGTTAAGTAGTATATTGTGTGCTATGCATTTAAATGTGGACAAGAAAAGTCTTTTGTGTTCCATTGTAAAGCAGTCGTCTTAGGATAGATGACACATGCTTATTATAATGGTAATAGATAAGGGTGCTTATAAAGCGCTTACCGCCAAAGTCTTACAGAGGAGGAAACCAAGTAAACATTCTAGCTACAGAAAATATGATTTTATTAGTATATATCTGTTCATTTGATGCTGAATAATCATTTCTTTCCTTTCTCCCATGCCAGAATGTGACAATGGTGAGTAAACACACATTTTGATTCAAATATACCTACTTGTTAAAATTATTCTTGTTATGATATTCTCAACATGTTGTATTTATATGAATGATATATGACTTAATTAATTAATCACAAAATTGTCTTAGCAGACACAACTCGGTGCTTTATAAATGCGTGTGTGTCTGTCTCATGATTCTTCAAAACTATTTTATAATTTTTTTTCTCTACATAGTGTCTGATGTAGAACACTTAATTAATGCTGTCTAATGTCAGTAAAAAGCTTTCTTGTACCAAAGAGAGATATATTTCGTATGATATCATCTAAAATGGATTTTGAGAGTTTCAAGCGAAAAATATATTGCACTAAATAAACATTGCAGTTTTTACTTGTTTATTAATTTATGTTATTTATTTATTTATTTATTTATTTACTTATTCATTTATTCATTTATTCATTTATTCATTTATTCATTTATTCATTTATTCATTTATTTGTTGATAATATTTACTTACTTATTACTTACTTATTTATTTGCTTTTTTATTAAACAAATTTAACTTAATACAACTGTAATGGATATTTCTTAATTTATTAAAAATATTTTACCCAGAATGCAATTGAATGCTGGTCCAAACACATCTCCATGGTGATGGATGACAGACTCCTCCCTCTAGACAAAACTAAAAAATCTGAGGATGTGACAAAGAGACAGCTTCTCCAAGATGGTGAGGAGTCGCTCCTAGTTTCCAAGACGGAGACCTGGCTCACTGGAACCGCATCCAAACTGGACATTCTCATCGCTAAGATTGTTACCATGGTAACCAGTAGAAGCTGGAGAGTGAGGCTTGCTTTGGTTAGGTTTGCAGAAACTCTCATCCTCAGAACAAAGAGGTAAGTGAGTAAAGGATTAAATGTAGATATTAGAAACTGTGCCTATCTTGAGTAAAACCTTTGATTGAATCCTTGTGACTTTCATAGATATGGTCAGTGTAGGAGCACCAAAGTATTTACTTAAAATTCCACCATGGGCAGCAGAAATTGTTTTGATATACAATCTCCATTTCTTCTCTAGATTATGAGTATGATGTTATGAACTGGCACATTTCCACACTGCCCAGTATAGCTCCTTGTTATAGGTATCAAACTAAAAAATTACATGTCCATATTTCAAGAAAGTGGTGCTAAATACCAAACTGTGTGTAAACACATTCTGCATCAATTTCTGTCTGAAAATGTTGTATTCTTTCTTCCCAGTTGAAGTGTTAAATGATATTAGTTTCTTGTTTTTATGATTATCAAAGCAATCCTGCTTTAAAATATCAAACCAAATAAGCTTCTAGGAAATTGCAGTATCTAAATCACGAAAAAATTGCCGGCATTTATATCTTCACCTATCAAATGCTGGAATCTCAGATCCCCTGACTTTTACCTTTTTGTTTGTCAGAAGTTGAAATGATATTGTGTAACATTAAGCAAGTTCGTAATTAAAACCAAACAAGAGCTCCTCTGCTCTGCTCAGCGCCGTCTGCTAAAAAGACATGCAATACACAAAAAAAAAGCAATTTCCATTTCTAACAAGACTTTTTGCTGTTTGCTGTAAAAGCCACTTATTTCTGCATCACTAATTATGAAAGCACTTTACTGTTTGTATCATATATTGTCAATATTTGTTATTTTACCAGTAAAAATGATAATGCCATGATTGCAGTTTTCCACCCCATGTGTCTCACTTCTGTCTGTTTTTCTAGCTCCATGTCCTGCAGCATGGGCAAGGTGTTGGAGGTCTTGGTCAGTCTGGCCCAGGACAGGTATGACCAGGTGTCCAGCCCTAGTCAAGCCATCCTGAGGTCAATGGCTAAAGAGTCCTTGACCGTAGAGAGTAGAATGCTGAGTGAGCTATTGGAGGATAATCTTCATAAACTTGTCACTGTACTACCAAGGATCATCAGAACAGCAGGTAAGAACAAGATGGCTTATGTTTAATATAACTGATAGTAAATGAAATCAAATGTAATTAAATGTAATTAAATGTTATCAAATTTAATCAAATCATAATTGGTTTCAACATGAAGGATAACCTTCATAAACTTGTCACTATGCTACCAAGAATTATCAGAACAGCAGGTAAGGAAAAGACAGCTTACAGTTAGTATAAATTGACAGTAAATGTAATAAAATACTCTAAGCTTCAATTTCAATTTCAATTTCAAATTTCAATTTCAATTTCAATTTCAATTTCAATTTCAATTTCAATTTCAATTTCAATTTCAATTTCAATTTCAATTTCAATTTCAATTTCAATTTCAATTTCAATTTCAATTTCAATTTCAATTTCAAAAATGTTTTTTATTGCTTGTAGGTTCATTGCAGTTTGGTCTCCAACCGGTTCGTCTACTACCGAATTGGTCTATTCCCATATGGTCTACACCCAACCCTCTGTTATCCACATGGTCTAATAATCATTTTGTATGCTTATCGTTTGGTCCATTGATCATTTAGGCTAATAGTCATTTGGTCTAATTTTGATTTGGTCTAATCTCGAATAAGTCTGCCTTTACTTCCCATTTGGTCTATTGCTCATTTAGTATAATTTCTAATCGGCTTAATTTCCAGTATGTCTAATGCTCATTTGGTCTACTATCCATATGGTCTAATAATTATTTAATCATATCATATTCATCAAATGATTATTAGACCATGTGAATAGTAGTAGAAGAACTGGTTGTAGACAAACCGACAACTCACCGTCTTGTACATATATCTTTTGTAAGACACACATGTACATACACAGTGTATGAGAATATGTTATAGTAATGGACATATAATGATATTGATGAGATATAAAAGAAGACCATGGGATACAATGAAGATTTAAAGGAAGAGATCAGGAAACCGAGTTTCAGAAAATTATCATTGTGTCTACATAAATCCCTACTATCAGCATGTGTATAGGACATTATTAAATAAAATATGTAATAAAATTTGTTTTAATGCCCCCTTCTCTTTTCATGATTGCCTGTAATGCCGACAGATGATGAGGAGAAATTGTCCACTGTAACTGCTATGGTTGGATACGTCAAGCTGCTCGGTAAGCACATTATTATTGTGTTGTGTAAGGAACAGTATTTTACAATTAATTCTAAAAGTAATAAAGAATGTTTCTTATAATTAAAAGTATCTTACCATTTCCATTATTAATTGAAGCACTTATAATATTATTACCTCCGAGTCAGCTACTGGTTTCAGCTATGATTTTGCACTGCAGCGCATGCCAGCCAGTCGCTCTGTTTTATGGGTTTACACAATGACTTCCCTATCCTGCTGCACATACTCATTTAAAGATAAACTCCAGTACTGGTAAAAAAAAAATAATAATTCTCACAGAATCAAACGAAACTTACACTGAATGTTCAAGATTACAAATAAATGACATGTGCCAAACAATTTTGGAAGAAAATGTACACTGGCTGAGTAATGAGCATAGAAAGACAAGGAAATCAAGGTAGTACTAGCCCCGACACCATGTGTGTTGTCCCATATATAGCTTTCTATGTGAGTGCTTGTTACTTTACCAAGACTCGGTCAAATTTATTATGATTTTGATGACTCCAGAACCTTGCAGTGCACACCAATACTTACATGCTACATTACATGATCAACTGTTTCTGAGCCTTTCCACACATTTTCTTTCACAATTCAATCGCATTACCAGTACTAAAGTTTATCTTTAACTCCTGGGTGAAGAGGAACGATGTAGATGCAGATAAAATGCCTTGCTCAAAGGTGTCATGCCGGGGCTTGAACCCACGATCATTACATTCCCAGTCAAGTGATTAATCTGCATGTAGATGTAGATGCAGATAAAATGCCTTGCTCAAAGGTGTCGTGCCGGGGCTTGAACCCACAATCATTACATTCCCAGTCAAGTGATTAATCTGCATGACTGTGATCATACATGTACCTCTTGTATATAAGGTGAAGGCATATCAGAAAGACTATTTCCAGGAGGCACCATGGCTCAGTGGTAGAGCATTGGTCTTGTAACCAAGATGTCCCGGGTTCGAAACCAAATCGATGCACTCATGCTCTTTGGTAAGGAATGAATCCTCATAACCAAGTCCCTCAGAGAGAACTTAAAGCCGTGGGTCCACTGGTTGTTATGCTTTCTTAGCAGTCCATCAATTACATTTACAATTACGAACAGAAGATACATGTAGCAGCATTTATACAGTCCAGTATTTGTATAATATAGATACTGGTATATACAATAATAGAATTTAGATGATTCTAGAACAAGTCTCATGGTGACTGCACTCTCTTGTCTGAGATGAAGTAAAGTCCAAAGTTTGTAAATATTAACTGTTTATTTCATCTAGTAGTAGTAATTATTAATAGGAATACGATTTATTATTCCTAGCAGTTGCAATAAATTAATAAATAATAATGATAATAACAAAATTCTTTATCTTTCACAGGTCACAGACTGAATTCACTTCTCAATTCAGCCCCTCACTTGAAGAGATTATCCATAGCTTTACTACAAGCTCTAGAGCTCAGCATAAGGGATACAGGAATCTTAGAAACTACACCAGCACCTCAAGCAGGTACATGTAGTACTGTCATCCTAAGGAGCATGCATGTTGATCTAAGTTCTATTCCCACATTTGATTAAGAATACAAAAAAATGGATACTTGAAGCACAAATTAGAAATATAAGATGAAGAGAAGCAGTACAGAGCTCTGCAAAGTTTTGAATGACAAAAACTAAATGTTGACAATATTCATTTTTTTTATGTTTCTTTATTTATTTATTTGTTAATTGTTTGTAATGGTCCAATGATTTAAGTTTCCTATTCCATATTCGTTGTTTTCAATAGTACGATTCAAAGGGGAATCGCTGTGTTTTACTGCAAGCCACTTGTTTTTTTACAGCGATTTCCCAGGCGCTTTTTTAATATATATTGTATCTTTTTATTTTATGAAATTAATAAATTGAATTGATAAATTGAAATCGAGCAGGTGTAGGCGTACTGATGCAATGTATAATTCTTATTTTTCATTTTGTTAATACTTTATTTCTTTTTTTACATTTGATGTTTATAATATTATGGAATATATTGTATTATTCTAGTTGTAAACCTGACCCCTTTAGTCTGTGCTGCTGGTCAGTTAATATATACCAATAAAAAAAATGTATGAATAATTATGTCAACTCTATTTTAATTTATATGAGTTAATGCCTTCTGATTCTCTCAAGATAATACACAGTATGCATTTGAAATTCAGTTTTTTAAATACATCCAAATGTCTTTATATGTTTGATTTTGTTTGTTGCTTTGTTTTCTTGAAGACCTGAGTGGTGGTGAGGTCAGAAGAGGTCATTCAAGAGACTTCAAACATTTCTCAGACCACAAGATCTATGAAGGGATCTTTCAACTGTGCCAACTGCTAGGGCAATATGGTGAGTCACGTTTGCTTGTTTGTGTGTATATCTCAATCTATATGGTTTTAGTTGATTAATGCTGTGCTTTGATACTTTCATAGTGAATAATACCTCTTAGTGGCAAAAGCTCTCAATCCCACAGACGGAGAGAAAATGTCAGTTCTTGGGAAATCAGAGTTGTCCGTCACACTCATCATAAGTAGCCAGATGCGACAAAAGATTTTAAATTAGAAATCTGTTTCTGGTGGCAGAGCGCAAGTAAGGTGCCCATGTCCCGTGCTATGCAGATTTTGAGCTAAGCTGGGCTCTGCCTTATAAAGACTAATTGATCAAAATCAATTGGCAAGTCCCCTCATCAATTGCAAGTTTGCGGTCCCCTATCTCTTATGTACATAGTTGCAATTGATATCAATCACAAATGAGTTGCTATTAATATCAATTCTTTATAAGATAGGACCCTTTTGTTTAATACAGGATGCACTCAATGCTGTCATCATTAATATTTTGACTGTGAATCATATTTGCAGGGAACGTTTCGCTCCTGATTGATAACTTCTTGTCCTATTTCCACGAGTCTCCATCCTACGTGAAACAAGCCACCATGATCATGAATGAGATCATGCAAGGAACACTCCTCGTTGCTAATGACGATCAACTCTCTATCTGGCAAGAGAAGGAGACGGAGGAAGAGGAGAAAATAGAGGATGCACTGAAGATAGAAGATGCAGAAGAATTGAAATCTATAGTCAGGTAAGAGTGAAGATTTTAAATAGTCAGATCTTGGTTGCAGAAACAGAAATGGAAATGGTTTTTCAACTTAGCCCCCCCCCCCCCCTCCCAAATGGTCTTTGCAATGTGATGTACGTATACTACTTAAATCATAGTGCAAGTCCAAGCTCTTTTGTTGATACATTACTGATCACATCTTGGATTTGGCATGAAGTTAATTGATTTAATACCGTAACTCACTTAGTAGGTTATTTACAAGCTCTTCTTCCCCTAGACTGAAATATCGTTGTTTTTTCCTGTCTCATCTCTCCCTTTCTCTCTCTCTCTCTCTCTCTCTCTCTCTCTCTCTATTATTGTATTACTATGATATATGGATAGATTTGAAAGACATATTGTTTTTGTGATTGTACTCTGTGAGCTCCATACCATTCAACCCTTGGGCTGCTGTGTGGATTTGATTATAAATACCATTTCAATTCAATTCAATTTAATCCAATTCTATAGCCCTATAGAGCTGTGATCACACCAAATATAAAGTGGAGTGACACATGTCAATTTATGTTCAAAATTCCACAATACTTTGTAACATATGGAACACAGAAATGCCCATCTACCTTGGAATTGCCAATAAACTGTGCTACACGATATTTCATATTTTTGATTCATGAAATCCTGTTCAGTGATTGGTCAACGTAGCATCATGCGACCAAACATAACATTGCTATGATGTTACCGATAAGCAAAATGTGCTATACCGTGACGTCATTCTAGACCATGGATGACGTCATAGATACATAGATCTGATCGATCAAGATCAATGTGCTATCGGTATCATGCATTATTTCAAGCCACTAGTGAAATTACGGATTCCTCGGTGACAGAAATTGTTTTTTTTTATGAAAATTTGTTTGACGAATACAAAACAAATATATCATGCACTATTTCAAGCCACTAGTGAAATTGTGGATTCCTCAGCGACAGAAAGTGCTATTCCTGCCACCTCGATTCATAATTTCAACTAGAGCCTCTCAGTGCATGGTATATTTGTTTACTATTCAATACTCTTTTTGATACTTTTTGCAGTATGTTGCTTGATGAGTACCTGTCACCTTCATGCTGGGATGTTCCTACTACCCAATCATCATCTCCTCCATCTACTGCTCCGTTATCATCATCAGCTTCATCATCATCATTGTCATGGCAACCGTCTGCTCCTCCTACCCACCTGATACTGAGGAATGCATCATCATCATCATCATCATCTAGAGATGCGTTGACTGTATCACAGATGAATCATAATACCCTTCTGAAATGTATTCTCTTGGATGGGATTGCAGTCTTTGCTCAGGTGAGCATTATTAAACTCTGCGTCTGGTGAAGGCCCCTGTTTGTGCGATTACCATATTCTAACACTGCATAAAATGTACAATGTATATATTTTTCCCGTTTCGTCTCTCACTACAGTTCCTTTTACAATACTTGCACTCATTGTTTGCTACATGAAATTTTATTCTTCTTACTTCCCCTGTTTATTAGCTACGATCTGATGTTAACTTTCTCCATTAAACTGAACTCTAAAGATTTATTTATCCTTATTATGTCAGTATATACAGCTAAATTACATTTTATACTTCATTGTAACTCTTGGCTCACTCTCTCTTTCTATTTTTCTTCTCTGCTCTACTCACCTCCTCTGCCTACTTTTTGCCCTCTTCTACTCTCTTGCTCTGTTGGTATTCTCATTGTACAAAACTGATTTTCTGTAACCTACCCAACTAAAGCTGTTATGACTGTATTTTACCATTAATGTGATTGTCTTTTATTATGATTATTTCTTTTTGTAAATTGATCTGTAAACTTTTACTAGTGAAAAAATAAGGATCATTATTATTATCATTATTATTATTAATATTATTATCATTATCTGTTGAGGTCTGGCAGAGATATCCCTTTGTTCCAGTTGATAGTGGGGCCTTGTAGCATCAATTGAATGAATTTAATGCTTCTTTTTCTTCTTACTTCACTCAACATGATGTACAGGTTTTAGGAGCTCAGTTTAATCAACTATTGATGCATTGTCTCTACTTAGTACTTGAAAGGATGGCGGATGAAAGGACATTGGTTTGGTTAGTCAACTGGTTTTCATTTCAGTTAGTTAAGGCATTTGGTAGATGTGCATGTATGAAGTATGAACATATATAAGACATTTTGCTATGTACACACAATAGTCCTATATATATTGGGCATGTAAAACTAAAATTATTTTCAGGGCAGATGATTCTAGTTTTGACGTTTAACTTGCTGATCTCCGAAAAGCGGAGGGACAAAACAGAGAGAGAGGGGGGTAGACTTTTTTTACTACACTAGGCAAAGAAGAAGTGCAGTGTATTAATACATTAATAGTAATACTTGATATAACTAATATGACATAAGTTAATAGCACTTATCTATAAAATGCTGGGTGTATCATTAGGTGCATGTACAGACAAAACAGTGACAATGGGGAACTCTCATATAGTTTGAAGTAGATTGATTCAATGATATCTTAAGATTTTGTATTTAATCCTTACTGTGGAAGAGCCAGAAGTTCATTGACAATTTTTTTCAAGGATATGACCTAACGCCCTTTTGACTCTCAAAAGATGTACATGTAGTACACGGTAGGCAGATGGTTGAGAAAGCATTTTCCTTTTCTGAAAGAAAAATGAATATTTATACATTTTCATTAAATTTACACAATCAATTTTAATATTTTCATCTTATTTTTCCTGTTTTCAGCCAGCATGCCCATGCAACCCTAGCCATCATTTCCCAGGCCTGTGGATACAGGTAAGTGTCATTCATTGATTTATGAAACATTCCGAATGGACATCAATATATACTGCCATAAAGAAATGTGTGGAGGAAGATGCCCGAAAATCTTCAAATCATAAACAATATATATTTGGTTAGTTGTTGTCGTTTTAATTTAAGTGTAATTTTTTACCCACATCGCTACCACTGCTCTAATGTTTTTTCAACTGCGCCATCTTTTGGTGAAGTCGCCTTGGTGTAGATTGATTTCCAGTTCCTGTACCCACGCATCATCATGCATGTTGTGTCATGCCGTTAGTGGTGCATTGTGGGACATGGCTGTCGACTGAATTAGTGTCAGTAGAATACTTTGTCTCTAAATTGTCCACATATCACACGCTTTGCCCAAATATCACATGCTTTGGTACCTACATATGTAAATGCTGTAGCAGTTTCAAATTAAAAAAGTAACTCAAAACTGAAAATATCTTGAAGTGGCCTAAAACAGACATCTTATTGCAAAAGCAATTTCTTGCAAATCCAGTCGTAGCCAGATTAGAAGACTTCAGAAATGTTAACAATGTCTTGTTTTTTATTCAGATCAATCAGTGAACTCCTGCTGATGAATGTAGACTACTTGTCTGACTCTGTCTCAGCTCGTCTAAGGCATTACGAATGGAACCTCAAGGCACCATTGGTTCTCAAGGTCACCTTACAACACAGGTAGGTCATATCAATGTCACTTTCCAATTTCACCTTCTAATGTTATTCAGACCTTGACCAGTATTGAACACTTCAGGGCCCTGTTTCATGACACCTGTGATCAAAACAAGTTACAAAACCTGTTATAAGCTACTGGCATCATGGCATTTGATTGGCTGAGAGTACTTGTCATAGAATTAAGCATTTGTTACTTATAACAAGTTTTATGAAACAGGGACCTGATGTATTGAATTAATCAATGCAGGGGGGTGTTTCATAAAGCTGTTCGTAAGTTACGCACGACTGGTGATATGTTCTTGTGCTACATGTAAATGATTGAGAATCTGATTAGCACCCAAGAACATGTTCCAGTCGTGCATAAAGTCGTGCGTAACTTACGAACATCTTTATGAAACACCCCCCAGGTATGTATTAGTCTGAATAAAGAAAACAGCTGTTTGCAGAGCTTAAGAATGCAGATATTTTTTCTAGTTAATAATCACCACCCCTGATCCAGTATATTGATTACAAAAATGATGATGGAACATTTGATTTAAACTGGATACAGTTTAGTTTACTGTGTTCAACTGGGATGATATTTACGTTTCAAAACAAAATGAAAAAAGTTAGCCTTTGAAGAATTCCTGCTCATTCCCATTTATGCAACACATTATGCTAAATAGATCAGGCTTTTGTTAAGCATAGGTTTCCTACTGAATTTATTATTCTAATTAATTGTAGTTCTGATGTGAATGCTTGATCTGGTTTCATAAAATATTTTTGAAATATTTTTTCTTTTGCCCTTTTTGTCTTCAGCACATGCGACATACTGCCTTTGCTTCAGGATACCATTGAAGAGGTACAGTATACATGAATCAATCTGCCATAGATTTATAAACAAACTTGATTAGAACAAACAGAATAATTGTTTTTCTTTGCATACCAGTAAACAGGCTTCTTTGATAATCTGTACTTGTTATTAATTAGTGAGAGGACAAATATCTTTGTAATGTAATGCTCATATCTATTCAAATGATGTGGCAAATAAATGGAAAGGGCATGGAAAGGGAAAGGTCAAGTAATGTCATGTTATTTATAAATTTCTCATGTATGTGGATACATTTTACATTACAATTGTTACACAATTACAAATCTCTCAATCTGATATTATATCTCAAACCTCATATTATAGTAAAATTTAAATCCGAGGTGCAGCATTCATTCTTCTAATGACAATGTTAAGACACATGTGTTGAAGTCTATGTGCTTTTCAGACTTCATGATAACATGACCAACTCTGTTAAACTATCTATCCTTTTTCAAACCTACATGTACCTTGAGTAATGCCCTCCAGTATAAATATATGAATTAAAAAAAGAAGTGTTTTCTGTCTGGCTTGCTCGTAACACACTGTATGCACATTCTCCACTCCCTGGGAGCATTTGAGCCAGACGCCATTTTACAGACGCTCACAATACTGAGCAAAGCACATTAATAGGGCATCCAATTGGTACCCCTGGGTGAAGAGTGGCAAACATAGATTTTCTTGTAATTGAATTTTCGTGTCATTTCAGGTCTTTCATCTCATGGACGATCACCACGGCGACCATGCCACATCGTTGATGAGTGTTCTTCAGTCTCTGGTGTTAGCTATCAATAGATGGTTTCCTCCTTCCAGAGAGGAGGAAGTATGTACAGAGGTACTGAGGTAAGATGTCAGACTTAATCATTCATTTCCTTTGTAAGATGCACCAAGCAACATATTTTTAACCTGTTAACTACTGAATTTTTGTATTCCCGTACACTTAACACAGGACCCGCTTGGTTCCAGCATGCAATGAGATACAACATAAACTCTGATATACTTGTAGAAGTTATTTTCCTTTCATGAACTTTAATTGCTGGGATAGGTATGTGCCCATATAAAATGTGGCTATCAGTATCATTTGTTGGTAGTGGTTGATATATTTCTTGGGTTAAAATAAAACCACTTTAATCACTGAGATAGGTATGTGCACATACAAAATTTGGCTAACATTATCATGTATTAGTAGTGGTCTTGGGGTAAACAAAACCACTGTAGGAAGATAAAGACAATGTGATATGATTGTAGGGCCCTCATGGAGAACTGTATGAATAATGATGAGGCTACCCTGGGTAAACAAGGCAAATTATTATTATTATTATTATTATTACACTTTAGCCTAGGTGGCCTTTGTGAATGTAATGTCGGTGGGTTCAACTCTACATATTATTATATCATTATATTTTTCTTACAGCTGTGAATCAGATCAAGTCAGTTCCATCGTTGCATTCTGCAATGATTACATTCAGACTTTGAATAAAGCTGATGAAGATCTGAAGAACTTGGATGTGGAGATGGATCCAGAGAACACAGATGAGGTTGAAGATGAGGAGAAATGGATGGATGAAGTAGATAAACCCAAGGAACTCCCTCTTCACATTAAAAATGTCAAACAGGTAATTTTGAAAAATCTACAACCCAAACTAGTGAGGGAAGGAAGGCCGGTGGGCCTTGATGTAGAGGTGTTGTGGTCTAGTGGATAAGTCTCAGGACTGTGAACCACAAGGAATGGGGTTCAAATCCCTGCCACAACACTAATGTCCTTTGGCAAGATGTTAATCCTCAATTGCCACACTCCACCCAGGCGAGATAAATGGGTACCAGGTTGGATTATTCCTTGAAATGCACTGTGCGCTAATAACAGCTGCCAAAGCTAAAGCTAGGGTCATGCACATTGTATCATAATGTGTTATGCACTATACAAGAATGGATTATTATTATTATGATGATGATTATGATGATGGCTTCTAGTATAGTGCCAGTATCTGTTTCTGCTGGGCTCTCATGGTGCTTAGACATGACATGCCCAATTCCCTTCCCGGCAGTCTTGAGTGTGTACCAGTATCACTGAAAATGTTGTTTCTTCAAGATTAAATCATAGCTGCCAACCGTTCCTATATTTGGAGGAATGATTCCTATTTGTTGGCCTTCAAGTTATTGTTTTGAACCCTAGATTCCTCTCTATTTCTGAAATATTCTGTATGAAAAATTATACAAGATGGACTGTATTCCTAATGTTGCTTTGAGAGATTCCTAATCTTTGCTGTGAAAGGTGGGCAGGAATGTTGAAAATTTGAATAGAATTGTTTGAATATAAATTGGATATAAAATGATAATGATATCAAACCCTTAGCATACATGTGCAATATGCAAGTTGGTTTCTGGCCAACACATGTATGGAAATTTGACATCATGAAAATCACAAACTACATGATACTTTGATTTCTGAGGATTATTTGCTGCATGATTATAAATTCAGAATCAGTTTTTATCCTTTTTCTTTCAAAATACAGTTTTATTGCCATAACTAATTATATTTCACTCACTTTGTAGTTTATTAAAGAAACCCATGTTGACTTTCCTGTTCCTTGTTTACCATAGGTGTTGGAGCACTGTGTAAATCTCATGTCTTCATCCAACCCTCGTCTGAGACTTCAGGTTCTTAGCACTGTCCAGTCGGCTGTAGAGGCACTTCATCAAAACCAAGGTACTGGAGCACTGCCTGTATGCTTGTATCATGTCTCTGTGTCTTTCATGTAACCTTATTATTATTATTAAATATTTGGTGTCACCTTTGCTTGGGAGGGGAAAAGCAAAGAGGTCTCTCCTCCTGGTATAAACTGATTAGGGGTGTACAGACGGACCACTACACCAGGATTTTCCCCTACAATTATACAAATAGTGTAGTGTTTTCTTATTGCGCAAAGGTATTGATTTCCTCTACATGGGGCCTCCATTAAGCGTCCTATCTGAGGGACAGAGTATCTTCCACTTTAACATAGCCTGCATCCATGAAACAGGGGAGGGGCACATTTACACACAATGCAAGCTTCAGTCATCTGCCCGGGTTGGATTCGAAGCCACAATCTTTGATTTGAGAGGCAGATGCTTAACCCACTGGGCCACCTGGCATGTTGATAATGATTTGAGCACAAAGATTCCTAGACTACCACCCCTCCTGAAGACCTCCTTTGTAATTTCTCTTTATAAAACTGTATTGTATTGCTTTATGATTACCCCATATAAAATTTGACCCCCCCCCCTGAATGAATGCCTCCTAAGACAGTTACCCTTAAGGAATAGGCCAGTCTTTATATTTGTTTAAATTTTTTTTATATTGTATTTATTTTATGATTCATGTATTTTTAAAATTCTATTTTTGTTTTGTAGATGTGTTATTGCCTCTTGTACACAAACTATGGCCAGCCTTTGTATTAAGGTTTGCTGATCAGGAGATTCTAGTCACATGTAAGGTGAGTATTAAACTTAGCTTTTCTCTTGTCCGAATTTTAGACAACTCGAGAATTGATGAATTATATACATTCCGTTTTTTAAGGAGGAGGGGGGGGGGGGTGGTTATCATCCCTTTTAAGTGTATTCATAAATTAATTTATTTAAATTTTTTAATTTGTTAACACAAATGTGTAGTGTTACATTTTAATTATGAAAATAAGTGCATGTATAAATGTGGAAAGAAGCCTGAAAAGAATGTTAAAACAAAGGGTGAGTGAAGCAGTGGTTCATTGGCAGACTCTTGTTGCCTACCTGGCCAAATACTCATGCTGGTATGCGAGGCATTTCATCTTTGATAGGTTCTCTTTATTCAGGTGTAGTAGATTTGTACCTGGTAGGAAGAAATTCCTTGCATGTTGTCAGCACTTATAAGGTATGTAATAATTCAAAGTGATTTTTTTTACATTCAGTAATGCTTCATTTTGATCAACATTGTTATTTGTATATCACGTACGACTCTATATTTTTGTTAGTTTAGAAGTATGTTCATTCTTCCATTTCTTCTTCCTTTGTTTAGGCTTTTGAAACTCTTCTCACTTTAGCGGAAACATCAAGGGATTTTATACGAAGAAGAGTTGTGAAAGATGTCTGGCCCAAACTCACCTCCTTCGTACAAACTCATGCTGCAATGAGGTTAGTATTATAACATCATTCAATTCAATTCAATTCAAGTACTGTGTTTGAATGTGTCATGAATGAAAGAGAGAAATGCATATGTAAATTGTAATAGAATTACAAGGCTAAAAGATTGTTTCAGCAATTTTTAACCAAATTGAACAAGCTTTTTGGGGGATGTTGTTACTCTAAACCCTAAATATGAGGGGGCCTTTTAGTGATTTTGCAGCTAATTTTGATCTTAATTATATTTTGTTTAATTTATGTCTTTCACCCTTGTATGATAGATTTTTATTAGAATATAATTCTTGTTCGGCAATTAGTATTTTCATATTTAGAATGTTGTGCACTAGTCATTATTTTGCATTATCCTTTGTGTTATACAGTGAGAAGGCTGGTTCGAGCTATCACCATACAGCTTACTACAAATTACAGCATTCCATCCTAGCTGGAATAGGTCAGCTATGTTTACAGGTAATGTTCAACTTTCATTATATTCTGAAATAGTTGAGCCACTTTGCACCATGTTCTACTCATTCAGTTGAAACCGTCACTAGTTATAAAGTAGTGACACACAATGGAAAAACTTTAATAGATAGACCTCAGTTTGTATCCTTTGTTAAAGGGATCGTTTAACAATGTTAAATCTGAGATGCACGGCCCTATGTGTTATCAGTGTCTGTGATATGGTGTTATTGAAGCCCTAAAAAATTGCGCTTTAAAATGATCAAGAAGTGCCTCAAAAAAGTAAAAATCTTTGAGTGACCGGTTTTACCATACTCCCCCAATAGACTGTAGTGTTATGAAAAACCGTTAGGCAAACGCAAAATTTGAATTTGATTTTCAATCATAAATATCGTGATAATCAGACAGGCATTTAGCTTGTAAAAGTCATGGGGTTCCTGATTGACCTAAAGGTTTATAATTATTATTGCAGCATGAGCTAAGTCAAGGATTTTTTTAAGGATCTAAGAAAAAGTTACCAAATCCCTTTAAACAAAACTTTAGACCGCATTTAAAGTCAATTAAAGGAGGTGAGATGGTTCAGTGGTAGAATCGTAGTCTCGTAACCGGGAGTTCCTAGGTTCGAAACCAAGACGATGTACTAGTTCCCTATGGTAAGGCCTTAATCCTCATTACCAAGTCCCTCGGAGAGGACTAAAAGCAGTTGTTGATCCCCTGGTTGCTACACTAATACATACAGACACTTACTTCCTTAGCAGTTGTGTAAAATAAATGAGCAAACAAAACAAAACAAGCGTTGTGTTTGAATTTTAGTAAAATAAGGACCGTGATCATTTACAGGTGTCTTGTTAGTGTCGATGTTGTTCTAAGTATAATGACTTACCAATAATGACTGTTTAATACATGTCTAGCTTGCACAGGAGTTATTCCAGAATCGTTATTCTCATGTTGAATATGATATTGTTTCAGTCTTCCTTGTAGGAATCTGTGATGCTCTTTTCTCATAAACTTTATTTAGTTTCCTTTCAGTCTTTACATGGGCCCTGTCTTATGATACAATTTCAATTTATTTTTCCATTAAAAACATATTAATTACATAATTAATAAGTACAAAGAAGAAATTGGAAGGACCCCTGATAAAGCAAAGCTTATGACAAAGGCCCTGCACATATATAAAGAAATAAATGAACATTTATGAAATTTGAATGACATCAATCAACAGGCAATAGTATACAAATATTGACTGCTCATGAGGATGATGGTGGGAAATATCACTCCCAAGGTGGTGTTTACACCGGCCCTTCTATCACCCCCGAGGCGAAGCCGAGGGGGTGATAGAAGGGCCGGTGTGAACACCACCGAGGGAGTGGTAGTTCCCACCATCATCCGATTACAGAGCAGTCCATATTTGTTTTATATACCTCATCCTTTTTATTGATTCATGATTAGGTCTAGCTGTAGGTCTAGATCTAGCTCTAAAAACAGGAAACGAGATCAAGAGGAATTTACTAACCCAAATAAGAAAAATCCAACATCAAGTCCAAGGCAAGAGTATTGAATTCCTACGCGCTGCGCGTAACCGCGCGATTGCGGTAGCCTAGCAACTCAAAAAATTTGTGTGCGCAACTAAGTCGCGGGAGGGGTTAGGGGTCCTATCCCAGGGTTTGATAGTAGCTATCAACCCCTCTGACGTAATGATACTTGATAGATCGAAATGCTCCTTGACATGTGATATAGTCTTGACCAATCAGTGAATGACAATCTATGTATGAGGTATATAATAATAAAAGCAAAAACATAAACCAGATCCAGGTTGATCATAAGTCTTCCAAAATACCTATGGTGAAGAGTTGCCGTTGAAAGCAAGTTGCAATTTATTTGAATTGATTATAGCTCTTCATAAGACAGGCTCCAGGCTCTAGAACTCTTTATTACCACTTTTTTTTTTCTTTGACAGGTTGACATCTGTGAAGCAGACCTGCTAGTGATGGTTCAGGCTTGCATTCCCTACCTTAATGCCTGTCAACCAGTAGGACTACAAGAGGTCAGATTATATCACTTCACATCCTCTCACGTTTTATCTCCCTTTCTTTCACTCTCACTGTCCTCTTCTCCCCCTCTCTCTTCTCCCCTCTCCCTTCTCCCCTCTCCCTCTCTCTCTCTCTCTCTCTTTCTCTCTCTCTCACTCTGTTTTTAAAAGTCTGGTTTAGTTAAAACCATACTCGTCTTCCTTACCCCTTTTCAACAAAAATCATCAGCAGATTTGAGGGGAAATGTAATCTGTAGTATATAATACAACAGAAAGAAGAGAAACTAAACAAGAAACAAAGAGTGAAATATTTGTTAGAAAAGAATTTTTTTTTGTAATGATTTCAAAATTGTTTATGCTCTGTTAATGTGTAGATGCAAATGCCTGCACAGATGAAGATAATGTGATATAGTGTGGTTATATTTTTTCAAAATATTTTTAATGGATTCATGCACAGTACACCCTATAGAAAAGAGTAATATAACATATAAAGTATTTGTTGTTGTTTTAATTGATAGGCTTGTATATCAGCGTTTGAGGGTTTTATCGCAGCTGAGCCTGATGCTGTATGGTTCAGTCTACTTGATATAAGCAGCTCTTCATCATTACAACCACCTCATCCATGTTTTCCATCTATAAAGGTAACTTATTTGACCCTTTCAGTGCTGTGCTATGTTAGCGTTACAGCTCAATTTTTAGTTTAGAATCATAATTGCAATAGTAATGAAGCATTACACATAGGGATAATTGCATACATTGTATCCCTATGAACTTTACAGAATAGAATACAGAAGGAGAGGAAATGGTGCACTGGGTTCATAATTGTGACATCTTACAAAGTGCTAAATAGATATGTTTTCAAATTACTTCTGATCTTTTCATTTGTTTATATATTTCTAATGTATTCCGGCAAGTTATTCCATAAATATTGTCTGAATATGAAAATGACCTTTCCCCATAAGATTTTGTCACAGTTTATGAAACATAAAATAATAAAAAAGTACTGAAATTTATCTGAGCATCAAAATGAGGATAAATCAGAGACTTTCTGACAATTAAGATTTTTCTCAATGTTATCGAAGGAAAAAGGGCCTTTTTAATAGTGGCACATTAAATGAGCAAAAGCATGGGGCTGAATATTTCACACCTTTTCTTTTCCTTTTCAGTTTGCTGGTGACTCATCAAAGCAGAACACACAACAGTGGAGCAATATTGAGAAACTCCTGAGATGACGGCAGTCAATATAATTATGTCACAAGCACTCCTACCTTTCAAGAAATTAACCTTGATCTTATAAAGGCCTACATATGTAGAACACATGGTTTGTAGTTTGAGTCCCGCTGCAGCACTAAAGTTCTTTGCCAAGACATGAATCAACATTTGCCACTCTCAACCTAGGTGGAGTAAAGGGGTACCCTATAGGCAGAAATTCCTTGAATGCTTTAGCACCTCATTATTAAAAGGCAGCTCAGTTACAGCTAGGGTAATTATATACTTTCTATTAAGTGTAGTAGAGTTTTTACCTACACTGTAAAAAGACCTAATATTATTATTACAAGTTTTTGAGGTTGATTTTATACATTCTGGCCACACAGGATTATTTTTTCAGGCGATTAGTACAATTCAAGTTTTTAGGTTAACAGCACCTAATGTAATTGAAGTTCTAATTACCAAGACAAATGCTTCTTGTCATCTTTGAAAAGCGTACACAAATCTAATTTTTTATCAAGTTAAAGGTCTCCTACTGACAATTTAACTTTGCCATTATTTAAGTTTTTTAATGTCAGTCTCTTAAAGATCTTGTCTTGCCCATATGTTGAGGGAAATCTCATGTTCGATACATGTAAATGTACATGTACACATATTAAAGGTCTAGTGGCAGCAGTTCAAATTTTCTTAATTTGGTTAATTAAAGGAAGCCTCACCCCAAGAAATAACTTTAGTTATTCTGAAAGATTTATTGTATTCTTGCCCGTTAATCTTACAAGATTCTCCACCAAAGTGAATGAAGCAAGATATTCTTAGCATAATGTACATTTTTGCCATTTTCTGGATAACGTGATGTACTATGCGATTTTTGTTATCAACTAAATACATTAAAATTTATGGATGCTTCTTTCCCAGTTGTGTGTAGTGATGAAGTACTTCATTCATCTGCTACTATCTTTTGTAATACAATTTTCAGAATGCAAATTGCATATGTTACCCCGGTCCGGGGGTAAATAATATAAATTCTGAAAAGAAATGAAGAGGCTGGTCAGAATAAGTGTTTACTGTGAAGCATCAGGTATAGAACTCTTTAATAACATAAACGATAAACATGGAATAACATATTCCACTAATGAAACTAAATACAAGTAATACGGATTAAATATGAATATGAACACAGCTAACTCTAAATTCATAAAGAACATTGACATAGGCATCTGACTGCTTATCTTCTAATCTGAACACGGCTAACTGTAATTATAGACCAACAAGGTGAACCAGTTAAAAGTCGTTTTGTGTCTTTTTACACAATAACCCAACTTTCTCCAATATCCCAACCTGTCTATAGTCGCAGTAACCCTAAAATCCTTTTCTAAAATAATACCAAATTACTTTCTCTATTCTAACAAAACTCTTCTCTATATGCAGTAACAAAAGTATAATAAAAGATACAAGGAATATATTCTAACAAAATCACACTCAAGCTTCAAATATGATATTAACAGTTAAAGAGAGAAACCAGAAATGAGAGGGAGTAAAAGAGAGAGAAAGCGAAAGAGAAAGAGAGAGAAACTACAAATGCATAACAAATCATTTATCAAAGACCTGAATCTTGAACTATGAACCCAAATTCTCTCTTTTCTATGATATTCCCTCATTTGTCCAGTTGGTGGACTACTGCTGACCACAAGTCATTAGTCATAGCATGTCACAGTTATCTCTGATAAAGACTAGAGAAACTTCTCCTGATGCACAGACTATTGAATTGGTATCAGGATTAACTTTACTACTACTCTTGTATAGTGGGGTATGAACTCGTCACTATACATCTCACATTAAGCATACACACATTATGAGGTGTGTTCACACTAGTTGGTTTATCCTGACTTAGTATGAATATATAAAGATTTACTACTTCTACTACATAATAATACGACAATTATATAATCTAAATGCTTCATAAATATAACTAACACCATACAATAGATACATGGCACGTAGATACATATGTTAAGCCTGCATCTCTCATGATCAGTCTGGTTTGATAAAATACACTTAATTGGTTCTAAATCACTAATAACATTCACTTCATTATTAAACACGAGTTGCAGCACAACAATGTCATATATGAATTAAACAATAATAATTAACTTAGCCAGACAGAATTGAAAGAGATCAAAAGTTGTAATTTCTTACCTGAAAAGAAATGAAGAGGCTGGTCAGAATAAGTGTTTACTGTGAAGCATCAGGTATAGAACTGATGCTATCAGGCAGAAACCACTGACATGACCAACGCCTTTGATTTGGTTTCGTTTTGGAGAGAGGGCACAATAATGAGTCACCACTTCTCGGAAACGGGTTGGGTTTCTGCATCTTTGCAGGAAGCTGTGTAAACTTTTTAAGAAACTGATGTGTAAAATATATGACAATACTAACAGGATATATGTATACAAAATTTTGAGGGAGGCCTATTTTCCAGGGCCTTACACCCATCCCTCCAAAAACAAATGTCATCTTCGACATTTCCACAAGGTATCAATTCTATATTAAACATTTATTGAACTAAACTGATCATCGCGATCCTACCTAACAATACAACAATAAAATGAGACGTAACAAGCAACAATCTTTGATCTACCGATAGTCGCTCCTCTAATATACTCCAAAACAACCTTAAACATAATAATGTATATACAATGAATCGATTAATCGCATGAAAAAAAAATCACAAAAAAAAGTCAAAGCCAAACTGATATAACTGATCCATTTCTAGCCAAGAAAAGCATAAAACTTTGCTCAAGCTACTCATAGACGATGATATGTAATGAATTGCATCAATTTTTGTGCTAGGCATGAGCCTATGTATGCGTCTCAATGGCGCATTTGAGAAACTACATTACCAGCAGGCGCGCGTTCCTACCAGAGTATAACTTCCGATCCGTAAGATCCATGCACAATATTTAATACAATTCACCATAACCAAAATACTCTTGAGGGTAATAACCAATAATGCATTCCTTTATTAGCCCTTGGCTATATACAAGGAATGTCCACATTTCCAACAGTGGCATCCATTATCTCATTAACCCTTCCCTTTCCTTACGATAAAATAACATAACGTAGCATAACATAACCATTTTGAGGGGTGAATATTCACTCCTGTTCCTGGCATTATTAACACTGCAATCTAATTTCACTCTGACTTTCCCAAAACCCGTTAATTCAATCTTAATTAAATAATCTATATCCAGGACGCTAACTACTGTTGCCACTTTGGCCTAGGAAAGTGTCCATTCGTATACATGGGCATAGGCATGGGCATGGGCATGGACATTGTAGGGATATTTGTTTTGAATGGAGGCGGTTGGAACACTTGGGCACCTGCGAACGGCAAACCAGAGTTATCCTGATGCGTGGAAATTCCACTGACATCGTATTGCATGCACTGTGGATCCGGTGTGCCAGGGCCATAATATGTGAATTGGTTTGGGGGTTGTCTTTTCCGCTGAGGGCGCACATTTCTAGGTTCGATATCTTCAGAAGAGTCAGACTGGTTGGTCGGGTCAGTTAGTGGTACTGACGAGTCCATCAGCCTTGTCTCCTCCTCTACCGGTTGGGTTTGGGCCTGGAATGCTGGACTAGTTGGAGCTGTGCTTCCCATGTCTTGTCTTTGCGTGATTCCTGGGTTTACAGTATCGTCTAGGTGCACTTGAGTATCTTCCTCTCTTTCTTGAAGATCTTGCCGTGCCGCCTGACGGCGATGGAATTTCGTCAAATACATTTCCTCCTCCTCATCTGAGCTATCCACTGGCCGATTCTGCAGATGAGAGGGTGGCTGTTGCTGATCCGTCTGTGGTTGCATTCGCGCCTTTCTGCTAGTCTTTTGTGCTATAGTGGGTATAGACTTATCTGGGACCAGCGAATCACATGGAAATAGCAGATTGCGATGTAGCGTCCGCTCTCTGCCCGTACCATTCTCTGGATGAACCACGTATACAGGAAGTTCCCCCTTTCTCGTTTTTACAACGTAGATCCGGTCTTCATAGTATGACCGTAGTTTTCCTGGACCAGCCCTAGGGGAACAGTCTTTGACCAGAACCCTGTCTCCGGGCATCAAAACTGTGCTCGCTGCCTTCCGTCGTTTTCCCTTTTCAGCAGATTGGCGGGCTGCTCGTCCTGCTAAGTCATACGCTTCCTTCAATCTATCCTTCCATTTGGCCACGTACTCTGGCATATTCCTCGGCTGTTGCTTCTGGTTGAGGGAGATACAAAAAGCTAGGTCGATTGGAAGCCTTGCGGAGTGCCCAAACAGGAGATAGTGTGGAGAATATCCTGTGGTGTCATGCTTGGTGTTGTTATAGGCATGGACTACCTTGTTGAGATGTTGCTTCCAATCGTGCTTTTGTTCCTCGGTTAGAGTTCGCAGCATCGACAGGAGAGTCCTGTTGAAACGCTCAACCTGGCCGTTTCCTTGTGGGTGATAGGGGGATGTGCGTGAATGGGTGACACCGGATAGCTGTTGTAATCTTGTGAACAGCTGATTCTCAAACTCGCGTCCCTGATCATGATGAAGGCGTCTCGGGAAACCAAATTTCAAAACAAAGTCGTTGAAGACCTTGTCTGCTGCAGTTCGACCGGATTTGTTGGTCGTGGGATATGCTTGTGCAAATCGGGTGAAATGGTCCATTACGACCAGAATGTACTCGTATCCTCCACGACTACGTACTAGATGAAGAAAGTCGATGCTCACCAGTTCGAAAGGCTCTGCTGTTGCGATAGGGATGAGAGGGGCCCTGTTGGGTTTTGATGGTTTCTTCTGTTTGATACACTGACATTGGGTGGTGACGTAAGTGTTGATTGTGCTCTCCATGTGGGGCCAGTAAAACCTATCCCTTGCCAACTCTACCGTCCGCTCTGATCCCAGATGTCCCATCTTGTTGTGGAGCTCCTCGCAAACGAAGATCCACCACTTCCTTGGAAGGACTAGCTGTGTTTTAGTTTTGGTTACACAACGGAGGATTCCATCATCTCCAACCTCTAGCCTTTTCCACTCGTGCATGATGGACTTGGTACCTTGGGTCTCATGCTGCCGCTCATGCTTCTTTGGCCATCTTCTCTTGGCTTGGTATTGCAAAATAGGGGCAATGTCTGTGTCCTCCTGTTGGGCTATTTTGACATCCTGTAAGGAGAATAACTGGGTACATCCCAATGTGGTGTCGGTCATGTCGTCCTCCACAGCTGGATCCACCACCAAGGAATGTACAACAGCAAAATCATCATTCGACTGGTAGCGGATTCCCTGGAGGGTGGCAGTCATGACATCGGGGGAGATCTCCTCACTGTACTCTGCAGCTAGATTGCTGTTCTCCAATGGCATACGTGATAGAGCATCAGCATCCCCATTTGCTCTTCCCGGTCTATAGCGGATGGAGATATTGAAATCTGCTAGTTCCCCAATCCACCTATG